CCTTAATCATATTTAGTTACTTTAACTTTTTTTATTATTATTTTAGCAGGGTAGGACATAAAACATTTTTTTTTTTTACAGTTTCCTCTCTGGCAATGTGGCAATAAGAATAATTGTCTTGATGCCAAAAAGAGCCCAACAGTTAAACTGTTAAAAAAGTTCACACCCATGAGTAGAGGTAATGCAGCCTGATGATATTTACACCGCATCAGATACCGTTCCCCCCATGTTAAGCAGGGGGAACGTTATCTGAAGGGGTTTATAGGCCCATGAGATAGCGTTTCCCCCCCGATGTCATTTACGTTGAGTTGCAATAAATGCAAAACTCTCTGCAGGTACTTGTCTTTGTCGTCCGCTCTATTCAGCTGGCTTTTGAAACACAAGGAGAGAAGGTGGGGGCCGGGTGGTGAGGGTTACGGGGTCGAGAAATGCAAAAGTAACGGGATAGTTACTTTTACTTGGAACTAGTTACTTTTATTGTGGAGTAACTCAGTTAGTAACTCAGTTACTTTTTGGGAAAAGTAACTAGTAACTATAACTAATAACTTTTTCAAAGTAACGTGCCCGACACTGTTCGTAACATATGGAACAATCAGATCTGTGATATAAGATTAAGCTTGTTTATTTGGGGTTTTGTTTTGTGAGAAGGACAATTTTAAACAGTAAGCCGATTAAGGGAAGCTAAGATAAGATAACTAATACCTCTCTTTTTTATTGTTATCAAAACTGGTCGCATTTTGGATCAGCCTTTTTAGTTGTTGCGATATTCTGTATTTGAAAGAAAACAATTCTAGAAAGCTCTTTGACATGGGTTTTAAATGGGAAGTCCTTATCAAAATTAAAGGGGAACACCGTTTTTTTTTTAATTGGGCCCTTGATTTTATGTTATTACACCATGTTCTACTCACCCATATTAGTTTTGTGTCATTTGGAGCTGTTCTGAAGATATTCCATTCATAATGTATTCTTTATGGTAGTGTTAATTTTAGCAGCCATTTTTAAATTTAGTTTTAGTTTTAGTCCAGTTTCAGAATCGCTTTTTAGTTTTTATCATATTTAGTCGACATCATCCCATTTTTATTTAGTCTAGTTTTAGTCGACTATAAGCCAGAGCATTTTAGTCTTTATTTTAGTCCAAGAAAACATAATTTTATTCGTATAGTTTTAGTCAAGAAAAACTGTCAACATTTTATTCTAGTTTTAGTCAGGACATAATTTTAACCTTTTACTTTTTTGTCAGCAGATAATATTTAACATTTCCTAAAATTATTACGCATTTCAACATTTTCTCTCATCTTTTTGATAAAAAAAAAACACAATTTCAAGGAACACATGCAGACATGGAAGATGTTCTAAAAATATTTGCATATTTATTTTGAACATTAAAACAAATAAAATACACCTGACAAAGGAAACAAATAAATTAAATAAAATGTCTTATGAACTTTACACAAGTGCTGGCTGTTTAAAGCTAGTTCACATAGAATAATAAAATAAATAGAATTGAGATCAATGTTGTTTAAAAAAAAAAAAACTCCAACTGAGTTATATAAAGGTACAGTATTTAACCCATTTAGGCCTAAAACGCCTGGAAAAAACACCTTAAAAACCTATGGCCGATTTTAAAAAATACCCCTAAAACCTGAAGTTTTTCTGTAAATTCAGCAACTGTGTCAACGCCTAGTAAATTATTGATATCTCAGCTTCTGTAGCAGATAGAACTCAAAATATATTTTATCTTTGAAATTCTTCCAAAAAAAAAAAGTGAAAAGCAGTAATAAAAAAATAAAAAATTCAACCTTTATTTTTTCCATATGTGATCATGTCTTCATTGAGAATGTGCAATATAAAACGTTTTTAAAATAAAGAACAAACATTACATAAATAACTATCTGATGATTACTTATTAACAGTATTATTATGCATAATAATGCATATGTCTGTGTTATAAATTGCATACAACTTACCTCCAGATGGCCACAAATCTGTCCCGGGACATATTTTGGGGGAACTGCGTCCTGAAGAGAGGTTTACTCTGTCGCCAATAATCTCTTCGTAGCCTACTGGCAACACAAGAAGTCCTATGCCCATACACAGCCCAATAAATGTCTTCATCTCCGTCACAGTCACGGGTGACCACTTTGCCATCTTTGCTCTTGTTGGAGTTTGGTTTGTTTGGTCACTGTACCTATTCGTCTCGGTAACAAGATGCATCCAAAGTTCTTCATTAAAAATATGCTCAAATGCCTGCAGCGGTGTGGTGTCTGCAGGCAAATCAACTTTCACTCCAGGTGTGCGGTTGAAAACACTCCGTGCATTGCGGTGGTAGTTCGATTGGTTCAGCGCGTTCAAAGTCATCATTTTCATCTATACCGTCATCAAAGCCGACACACTCCTCAAAATCACTGCCTTCCGACATCTCTTCTCTGTCAAACTCCTCCATGTTTGCTTGAAAAAAACTTCTTTCTTCTTGCTTGACTTATATGCTCTCCCGGCGTCAATGGTAGAATTACGCAACAGCGCCCCCGGCTTGAATGGTAGAAATGCGGTAATGCTTTCCCGGCCTAAATGGGTTAAGGTGAAAAAGGCATAGTTTTTTGTCCTGAGAGTCAGCTTTGTATTTGGTGTGGGCAATTAAGGAAGCTTGTATAGCTGGCCTGTCATTGTTTCTGGGTGGTTGTTGGTGGTGGTGTATCTTCAGTCTGGAACAGAAATTAATACAATGTCAGGATAGATGCACAGCATAACAGGAATTCCAAGTGTATAAGTAGCATATAGGTCTGTTTTTTCCTTGACAAAAACTAAGTCTCTGTAAAACTACATTTGACAATCCATTTCAAACTCATACAAACAACCTAACTATCATTTTATGCAGAAATAAATTGCAGACATTTTTATGTGTGCATGCATTTTGGTTGTATTAATATTGATGCCAATTCAAATCAAATGTCCTTGTAATAGTAATGTGCAGATAAACAGAGCAGCATTTTATGTCACCAAATAAAGACATTGGGAGTTTGCGTCCCAATCCCTGCAGTGGTTCCCCTAGCAATGGCTATTTTGTGTATGAAAATCTAGGTTAAAGTTGTTCTGAATTATGTGCGGCATATTATTTTTATTTTGTCTTATCCTGATAAATAGTTTCAGTTCGTTTTATCATTTAGCATTCATGTGTAGCTGCCGAGGTGTTTTGTGTTAACTATAGTTCACTTGCAGCTCCTAGATTACCTAAAACGTCTGTCTGCTTTAATCAAACTTGCAATATAACAGAAACTATAGTTGCCCGGCCAGTATAACATATCTAAGTTAGCATAAATTTAACTTTACATACAGTATAGCTTTTGAGGAGACAAGAGATAAGTTAACTGTAGCCACAACCTTTGCTCATTTTACAGAGTTTAATTTATTAATCTATTCAATGTCAATGGACATCTGTAAAAATTTCAAGACATTTTAGTTTATTACTATATTAATATAGTCTGGCGGTCTGATCCACCATGACTGTTTTGGTCCTTCAGCCTCTTATAGTCCAGCTTTATTTTCTTGAGCTTTTCCCACACTTGCTTTGTCATGTGCAGAACATTTATGTTGGTCAGTCTGGCTAAAAAGTGCATCATAGTGCATCACCGACTAAAACTCCTGCTAAATGTCCTCCGCAAAAATGCTTGAAATAGCCAGGAGCCCATAATACCTCCAAGAGTCATAGATTCTCCTCTTCTGTTCCATCATGCTGTCAAGACTGAGAAAAGAGGACAGAGTATTCAGGCAGACAGACAGTAAGATATTTCAAAGGGCGTTTATTTGAAAATGACTGATCTGCAATGACCAGCTATGGAGTAAAACACAGCCTAGTGACCATGTTAATCTGGAGAAGTATGATTATGAATGTGTAAGTCACTAACCTGGTCTTAAAGTTCAGTCCATGCCCAGAGGAAGAAGTAGTTTCCAGCAGGACGGCTGCAAAACACAACGCAGTGAAAGCTACCCAGAGAGTTCCAGACGCTGAGTCCTTGAAGTCTTCAGAATTGGCAGAACATTAGATGAAATCTAAACAGATGAAGGAAGGCAGGACAATCCAGATGGCAAAGCCTAAGCCGGTGTTGAAGAGCTTCACAGGAGTCCGGGCCAGAAAATCAGAGATCCGAAGAGGTACCAAAGGGAAATCCAGGTTTATGTCAGGAAGCGGTTCCAGTGTTCGTCCATAGGCATAATCCAGCAGGAGTCAAATTAACAATCAGGTATGCTAGAGAACTCTCACTAAAGACTCAAATAATCTTGATGATCCTGATGACTGGAAGCAGGCAGGTTAAATGGAGATTGATAGAGATTAGAGGTGATGAGAAGATGGGTGGAGATAGGCAGGTGAATGGAATGATCCATTAAGTCAGTCATCATTGCCAAAATCATAACATATGCGTTTAAGAAATTAGACACCTGTAAACGAACTGCAAAAACTGTGTGTGTTTGTTGGCTGTAACAAAACAAAACACAGATTTAAAGATAATGGGATGGGCAGACTTGGCAAAAAAAGAAGCCAGACAGTCCACCACCTATACTCCTTGGAACCGTGCCCACTCCAGAAGCCCGACTAAGCAGAGCAAAGTACTGAATGGCTTGAGAAACCTAAGATTAGTCAGGTAATTCTGTATTGAAAAGCAAAGCCTTGGGCTTTTGAGCAGCAGTGGAAAAGGGGCTAAATTTTCAACAGTATTTTTAGGATGTTCTTTGACTATATTCGCCTATAGTAAAATATATTTTATATTATGCAGCATTTTATTGTGACTTAAAACATAAAATAAATAATAAATGCCTTTTGTAATGTAAGGGTGATTTTGGTCTGTGTTAAACTGAATATTGCTAATTAATGTGTTCAAACCACTATTCTTAGTAGTGTACATGAACCATTACTTAATTAGCAGTAACATCTCAATGTCTGTAATGAATTTCATGCACTATAATACATGGTTATGTCGCTGTTTGTATATATTGTTCTTTTTCAGGTGGAAAGGACAGATGTTTCGCTCTCTGACCCACAAGAACCAGTTGTAAGAGGGACCAGATTCATAGGGAATGGTTTCTATCAGTTCCCCAGTGATACTCTTCCCAGCAACACTGACTTTACAGGTAAGAACATATGTCTGTTTATATTATGTTATTAATAAATGAGGGTTTTTTGTTGTTTTTCTTTTCTTTATTTTTAACTTTATCTGATCTTAAGAGAACCTGGAAATATTTATGTATGTTCTCATTTGCTTTGACATAGTGCTCATCCACACATGCATCGGTAGAACAAAAAGAAATTAATTCATTTTGCACCACTGATTTAAAGCTTGACCCGAATATCCCTTTTTTCTGTCCAGTTTTACATCACTGTAAACCCTGTGTGCTTCTTTATATACATATACACGTATCTTCGTGTTCAGCTTTTACCATGCAGACTCTGAAATATAGAAAGAAACATTCCTTTAGAATGACTTCCCCAGTCAATCCTAAAGGACAATTATCTTTCTGTTTACCAGCATCATTAGAGGGTTGAGCTGCACAGCCAAACATGTTCTGCTTCATCTGAGAACATCACCCAGTCTGACGCTCATAATTAATGACTGCTGATACTAATCAGTAGGATTTTAGCATGCAAAGCTCTTTGATGCCACTGGAGATTGCTTCACTCTTTAGTGAAAACTAAGTATCATCAATTATGTTTGTTCGTAAAGAAAAAAATAAGACACGTTTCAAGGGTTAAGTGATGTGAAGATGTTAAAAAGCATGTTCAAAATCTGAACAATATAAGTTTCTTTTTGTGAAGCAGGTTTTCTGAAACTCTTGTCAATTCTATTTTGTGGAATTAATTATTTATCTCTAATCAATAAAACACAGCAGTCAATATCTATCAAACAGAGCTTTCTGACAGCAAAAGAATCATAGTTATAATATAAAAGCATTACTTTTGATAAACAGCAGTATATTTTTAACCAATGCTGTCCACAATTTATTTTATTATTTGTTTTGTACTGCAGATTCCAAGATGGGATTTATATCACACACTTATGTTGTTTTGTTTTAAATTCACTTTCTGAAATGAATTTGTCTTCCTAAAGTATATTTAATTATTTATCACATTACTCGTTAATCTTACTTCTTTAATCCCAGATCAACAGATCACGTATCAGATCTCCTCCCTGTCCTTACAGGACCAAGTTTTGAAGTTTCTTTGAACACTGGCAACAAATGCATGATGATTTTTGTTATTGAGACATGCTTCTTTGCCCCAACCAGTCTCCTCCTCCATAAAGGGTAATGGATCAGACAATCACTTTCAGACCGGATCTATTCTGGACCATCAATGTGTCGGCGGTCCTCAAACCGTCGCCCTTTTACAACCGTCAATACTAATAGCATCATCTGCAGACAATTATTCCCATAGAAGCGCACGGAAGAGCGAACAAATCAAAGCCAAATTGGATTATGAATGTAATGCACTGTAATGCCCCCTTGAGAGTCAATTGATCACAGAGGAGAGACTCGTCAATCGTTGATATCTTGTGGAAACCTTGTAACTCAAGCAATGATAACTCCGCAACTGAAACTTTTCATAGTTAATAAATTTCTGTAATTTTTTGACTTTTATCTTGACCTTCAATAATGTTTTTACTTTATGTAAGTTAAGCCTTTTTTATTTCCTAATTGGTTTTTTATTCACCAAAAATTTGTCCACAAGTATCATTGATCCCTTTGAATTTTTTTGTGGAGCAGTAATTTACCTTTTGCTCTGCCAACATTGTCCTCTGTCCCACGGTAGTTATTCATCTATTATTTGTATTGGCTCCTAATGCAGGTAGATTTCCTAAATATGTTAAGTGCGCATCCTTGAGCAGGGTCAATATTGTGCATGGCAAAAACCTATATAAGGTAAAACTAATTTTACCATCTAAAATTTTATAATTTTTACCCTTTCACCTGTTGTTTAATGGTCACTTTAGGAAAATTATTTTTGGTCAAATAGGTTATTTTCTATGTGCAATTACTGCCATCAGAGTGCATGTTTCCATAAATTCAATCTGTTCACTTAAGTTTAAAGATGTTTCTTAGTGCCTAATAAAGGTACTTGAGGTCAGCATTGGCTACACTGAATCTTACTTTAGATGAAACAGAACAGTATGTAATCATGCTGTGATATGAAGAACCCCTAAGTGCCTGTTTCCATAAAAGCTTGTTAGTTCATTCATCTTACCTATAATGCTTCTGTATTACTTCCTGTTCCTTATGTTTACATTTGAATTAATGACCTTGTGCGTCTCGGTTAAGAGTGACATATGTTGTTCTTTGTAAAATAATGTATTTATATAGAGATAGTTCTCTCTCTTCTTCATAGTAATTTTTCACATTTTAGGCATGAAGTGGGTTAATTGGAATGGGGAAGATGTCCTGCTTATATTTTTTGCTAATCCAGATGTATTTCTTCTATCAGAAGTTAATGAAGTTGGATGAAACATTACACCCATATTTTAGAAAAAAAGAAAAACAAATAAAAGTAAGAACAAATAGACTTGGATAATTTCCAGACACGTCTAATACAGTGCACTGCACTGCAGCAAGTGAGCAGGAAAGAGGGAAATGTTAAATGATACAAATTATTTTCCTTAATTAATATGATTGATTGCTATGCACTGACGTTGAGAGGAGAGGGGGAGAAACGTGTGAAGGGAAAGTTTGCACAGACATCATTAGTTTTTCCCCATTTAAAGATTAATCAGAAGAGGCTGGGCTCTTTAATTCTGTCATTTGTATATTTAATGGGCTGCTGCAGAATCTATGGGTGTAATTAGCTAGCTGCCGCGCTCTCATTAATACGCTAGGCTCTGATTAATGCCAGCAGAGAGCTAACATGACTGGAGTTATTCAGGTTATGTTGTGTTGTGTAGATGATTACCCACAGCCTCCACTGTTTACTAAGACAGAGAGAAAAGAGGTAACAATGATCATAAAACAATAAAAACAAATACTATGAATTGTAAATTGCTCAATATTTCTACCTATCAATGCTCCTCATCATGGTATTTTACAAAGTGCTATTATTTTCTTCATAGACAAATTCAAACAGAACTTCATCCTGGTTGGATAGATTAAAACTGAATTGGAAGTATGTATGATTGTGTTCTGAAATTAATCCCGCTTGGATAATTTAGATGTTTATGTTTTATAAAATAATTTAAAAAGCTTCCATATTTAAATAATGATGCTCGCTTTGCTGGGAAAGATTCTTATTCATCCAGGTCATAGTCATTCCAAAAAAGTTAAAAAACAATCCACTGGACTTTATTTCCAAGTTTGAAGACATTTCGCTTTCCATCCATTTCCTTTTTATATTCAAAATGTCAGAATTAGCATTCAGTTTGAGGCTTTATAAAGTGGCCAAAAACAAAGTTTTAGTCTTAGAAAACATGCAAATTAAATCGAAAGAACAGGACCACCCCTTAGGAATGGGGAGTTGTTTGGGTTCTTTGTTAGCCTGCAGTACCGGGTACTGGTCTATGCCTCTGAAAGGGAAGTCATTAGGGGGAATTGTTGGCCTTGCTGACCAGGCGAGATGTTTTGGTCCCCTGTATGGGGGGTGGGGTTTGCGATGATACCGGTAAGGAATCAACTCTATTGCTGCATTGCAGGTTTTTGAAAGCTGAAACCTAAGTCCACCCCCTTTGTTCAACGTTGTTTTTTCTTCTACAAAGAAATAATAATAAAAAAAACCTTAAACAGAAGGGGTGGAGTCGGGTTTCAGCTTTCAAAAACCTACAAGAGCCTGATGAATTTGTGTCATAAAAATACTTTTTAGAACTTTGAAGCTACACTTGATTTAATCAGATATGTAATTTCAGGCGGAAATTTATCCTTAAACCCTCTGGGCTTTAGGGGTTAAATTGTTTCTGCTGCCAATTTTTGCCAATAAAAGGAGTGTAAGTGGCTAATCATCTTACATTTTTAGAAAACAGATGGTTTACAAAATTTTTTGTGTTAATATATTGCAGACATATTGCAAGGGTGTTTGTTTTATGATTTGGGGATAGGGTGGGTAAGCATATTCCCATAATAAATAAAACAAGATATTTCAGGCAGAAAACAGACCTAATTTTTGTTACTATAGGTGCTTAATTGTTTTAACATATGCATTGTAAAATAAAGATCCTTTGTGAAAAAATCTGATTTAGCTACATGTTTGAGCATGTGCTTCTGTTAGGATTTGCATTCAGGTTTTGTGCTTGTGCAAGGCTTTGCACACGAGTATGCATGTTTGTGAGAAGTGTTTCTGATTGTACTGCATGTGCTACACAGTCACCTGTCATGGTGCATGCTCAGGTTTGTCTGCTGATGGCTCCAAAGTGGTTGTCAGTGTGAAGTAGCACAAGTCCTGTGGGAAAATCTGGGGGAAGTCATGCTGAGCATGAACAGTGTCACTAGATGCTGTATATTTGACAGGCTGGGCCACAATCTTGTCCTGCACAAGGTATCACACACTGAAAACGCACTGCTTATTATATACAATTATAAACACTCTTTTTTTTTTTATAATACATTGAAAAATTTCCTATTTTCCCAAAAGGTTTCCACATTTTTTGGTCTTTTCCTAGTTTTAGTCGACAATCTAAATATATTTAAGATACATAACTAAAAGGAACCCATTACTTTGACACAAAATGATTTCTGTACATTTATGTGACTGTTTTAATTGATTGAGGGAATGCAGAGGAAATAAATGATCATGACGGTGATATTTACTTGTGGCCGATAGCAGCACTGAACAGTCCTCCCCTACACAGGTCAGGAATAGTTTAATCCATCTGTGAGTTTATGCTAAAGTAATGGAGCAGGCATTGAAATCGCGCCATTACAAATTCTGATTTGAGGCCCTCAAGACTCGGTCATGCACACTAACAGTTAAAAGATCACACAGAAGAAGAAAGAAAGAAAGAAGAAGAAAGAAAAGGTCAAAAGAAAGATGAGTAAGGTTAAGAGCAAAGGGATGAAAGATGGAAAAGGATTGAAAGATCAGGAAGGTGTGATGGAGAGAAAGATGGTTAAAGGGGGGTAATGTAATGTCAAGTATCTGTCATGACTTCACTCTTCTCTGTTGTGACAAGGTCATGAATGTAAATGGCATATACCTGCATAAACTACAGAATGCAAGTTCAATGCGGGAAACATTTTATTACCTTTGCTGTATGCTGCCATCACTGCCAACTTAGTAAATTAGAGCAAATCGATTGTTTCGGGGAACTAATAATTTTAATGAATTGATAAAAAAATAAAGTAGGTCTGAATAGTATTTGTTAAATTGACAAATCTTGCATTTGATTTCACACACTTCAACTTACATAGGAAGGAGTTTTAGGGACAGTAAAAGTATCACTTATGTAATTTTAGGTACGATAGATTTACACTGGCAATACCTACAACAATGTAGACGCTGAGTCTTGATACACAGGTATTAATAAAATAAGTCTAAAGGCATAGTTTTTAAAATTTGGTTAGCGATCTTCTCTCTATTTAACGGACATGTATAGTGATGTCTTCCAGGGGTGTTCCAGTAAATATTTTTTATTTCCGACACAATGTTAATATTACAGCTTTGAGTAATGACCCAATACAGTATCAGAATGAGTAATACAAACTTTTATTAATCACTTTGTATTGTTAAATGTAAAAAAGAAAAGAAAAAGGTTGATAAAGTGATATTAGTCAAAGAGTCAACAACAGGTATAAAAACAACTGACTGGGTTCTATAAACTTGAATTAGAAGTGAAAAGAAGTGGTGTCTCTATCAGCCTGCTGATATCGGAGATTTTAGATGCAGGGTGACAAATCTCTTTTTTTGGTTAATATTGGACCGAATTCCAATATCAATATTGGATCTAAACAAACTGTGAGAAGACTCCTTAAAGTCTATAGGTTTCCCTTAGATTTTCTAATTCTTCTCTGAAAATGAGCAGAGCTTTACTTGTCCTACTTCCTTTCATTTTAGGTCAGTTCACACCCCATCATTTTGCAAACAGCACCTTCTGTTTAACCCCAAACTGCCTCAACTCAATTCCTCAGACATTCCCCTCCCTTTTCTTTATGGGAACAGACTGAGCCAAAATGTACTTATACCTACAGACACACTCACAATGGCTTTGTCTGTGCTCTTACATGGATCTAGTAGTGGATTAAGTGGTTACATGACAAGACAGATAGGATACTTATTTGTTTTCTGTCTGTCTACCGTAAAGTCGTGTTAGTTTTTCACATGTTAAAGCTTTGAAGAGGGGTAATTATATGCCTTTTAAAGGTTTTCTCTCCTATTTAGTGTTCAAATCTCACAAAACAGCAATGTTTCACTAACATGCACATTGTTTTAGTGTATTTTTGTTGTGCCTGTTTTCACCCACAACACATGCTAGCTTTGTTTTAACACCCAGAACCAAGGTTCAAATATAGCTTTTGCTGAGAAATGATATCCTTAGAAATAATATAAAAGTATCCCATTTGAGTTGACTGTTACCTGGAGGGCACTGCTTGTTTCACGACTGTCAAGTATTTGAGGTCGGTTGATAATTCCAAAATTTTTTTGATTTTGTTATATCTCAAGTCCTTTGTCATTTATACTTTAGCTGTTTAGATTTCTCATTTTTAAAGCATAAGTTCCCCTTATTTTCAAAAGGTGTTCCTGATTCGTTTATGATATTCTGCTTTTAGTCACAAACGCATATACTGTATCACAGAAATAATGTTGGATGCCTTTTCTTTGGATAGTTTCACAACCCCTTAATATAATCCTGAAGGATTCTGCCTTCTTTCCCTTCTTCATCATTTCCCTCAGTGCAGTTTCATGAATGTAAAAGGGCAGTGCAAAGTCTAACTTTTCATCTTATTTGGGAACTGCTCTTCAAGAGATAAAAGAAAGAGATCACAAGTGAGAGGTGGTAAAAGTGTGGAAGTAGATATGTCTGCTAAGACTAGTTTCCTCATGTGTATTTAAGTGCTAGGATTATCTTAGACAGCTGTTTTACAGTGAAAGTACTGAGTTCAGAGCTTCACTTTTCACAGTTCTTTTCCATTCTTTTTAACTTAAAATTAGTGGCGTATTAAGACTAAGTCAAACGATGTATCTTTTATGTATTATTGTTAATACATATAATATTATTATTCCTCACTTCAGCTCTAGTAGCTGAAGTGAGGGAAACTCTGAGTAGAGTCAATGCGGGTAAGGCCCCAGGGCCTGATAACATACCTGGGCGGGTGTATAAGGAGTGTGCAGGTCAGCTGGCTGCTGTCCTCACAGACATCTTCAACACCTCGCTGAACCGATCCGTAGTGCCAGCATGCTTCAAGTATGCCACCATTATTCCGGTTCCAAAGAAGCCTCAGGTCAACTCACTCAATGATTACCAGCTTGTCGCACTGACTCCAATCATGATGAAGTGCTTCGAAAGGCTGGTTAAAGAACAAGTCGTCTCCAGTCTTCCGCCAACATTCGACCCGTTCCAGTTCATCTACCAACGGAAACGCTCCACTAAGGACGCCATCTCTGCTGCTCTTCACCTGAGCCTGGCACACCTGGAGAACAACACCCACGTGCAGATGCTGTTCCTGGACTTCAATTCAGCTTTAAACACCATCATCCCAGAGCATCTGATTGGCAAACTGGAAAAGCTGGGATTCAATACACCCCTCTGCAATTGGCAGAGACCCGTAGACTTCCTCCCCAACAGACCTCAATCAGTCCTGGTCGGACAGAACACTGCTGATGTCATCACCCTTAGCACATGCTCTCCTCAGGGCTACTTCCTGACTGCGTCCCCAGGTTCACCACCAATCACATCGAGAAGTTTGCAAATGTAAGGTGGGCCTCATCAGAGACAACAATGACAGGAAGAAGGTGAGAAAAGTAGAAAAAACAGCAGAGAGGATCACCGGCTCTCCTCTTTCCTCCATTAAAGACATTTCATCCCAGCGCTGCGTGTCCTGAGCCCGTAGCATCATCAGTGACCCCTCACACCCCCGCCATGGACTTTTCTCACTGTTGCCCGCTAGGAAGAGACTTTGAAGCATTGGATGCAGGTCCAGCAGATTCTGCAACAGTTTCTTCCCCACTGCCATTAGACTGCTGAATGTTGGGTAAAATGGGTTATTTTATTTATAAATAAAATAAAATAGAAAAAAGAAATTAATGTTAGAACTGTAAATATACAATCATATATTTATATTACTATTTTTTTATGTATTAATGTTTTTCAAGGCTGCACTTTAAATTGCTGTTTTAAATGAAATTTCTTTTTGTTTACATTTGTGTACATTTATACAAAATGGCTAAATAAATCTGTCTAAGTATCTTAACATTTTGCAAAACATAGATTTTACCTAGACAATTTCAAAAAGAATGTGCATCAAACCGTTGGCCTCAAACTGTTTGCATGCTTTAAAAAAATATTGATTTTCTTTATATTTTGAATTTCCATTTTGGAGATTTTCAAGATCAACCTGTAAAAAAAATAAAATCTGAGAAAAGTAGAAAAAACATACATGTTGTTTTCTTAACCCAAACTAAAGTACATAGTTGGAGGATGTGTTATATTACATTAATTATTTCAATGTATTAACAGTTTTAATATTGCTTTGATGTTTGGTATATGATTTGTGAAAATATTTTGATTTTCCTTGCTTCTCTCTTTATTCCAATTTCTAAATTGTTTTGCAATAGGTGTTGAGCTGAGTTTTAGGACTTGGTCCCCAGATGGCCTCCTGCTGTGTGCCTTCTCTCCAGGAGATCAGGCTGAGTTTTTGGCAATTCAGATAAAAAATGGACGTCCATATTTTCTGTTTGATCCACAGGTAAAGTATCTTGTTTATTACTATTTGAGAATTAGCAGAACAACGTAGTTTAATTTGTCATAAGCTTAATGTCTGTCTATCAAAGAATGCAAAACAGTTAAAAGCAGGATTAAATGTTGTAAACCAGCAGTTCTTTGTAAATGCATGTAATAGAGGGACTGCGTTGGGGCAAAGTTGGCAGCACATTTGCCATGGAGTAAGAAGGTCCTTGGTTTCAAAGCAAAGCCATGGATCTTTTTGCATGTTCTCCTCATGCTTGCGTTTGTTCTCTACAGCCTGTTCCCCCAATCCCAAAAAATTGATTGTTGGGTTAATGCGTCTCTCTAATCTGCTCTTAGGTTTGTGTGCATGATTGTTTATGTCTCCGCCTTGACCTGCGATTAACTGGCAACCCACAACCATGTAGGGTGAACTGGTAGTGACCAATGGCAATGACTGTTATTTTCCCGAATTCGGAAACTGTGAAAATGTTGCCAGGTTCGTTTGCTTTTACTTGCTTTGAAAAGCACCTGGTCAGCGAAAGCCTTTTGCATGGCAGACAGATCTGTAGAGCGGGTTGTAAGGCTCCTACATCATGGAGTCTGCTTGTGATTGGTTTCACCTCATCATGAAGGACATGGGTTTGTAAAGCAACTGACAGCGTTTATAACTTTAGAAAGCTAAACAAAGCTGTTGCCGTTCCTAGGTTCACCAGATTCCCAGAGACTGAATACCACCACCTCCTCCATAGGCTAGGTCTGGATGAAAGACAGTTTTAGCTGCACTTTTGTCTATCCATAAACCAGTTGGGGCCCTGCTGTCCCGCATTGGGTGACGAATCACCCAAACAACGTAGGTTTAGGTGAGATGGCATTCTGGAGCTCAGACAGCAGCGGGAAATCAATATAAGAACACCAGCAGATATAAAACCAGGACCAGGCTGCCAGCCATCTCACCATCTTGAACGAAGGAACCACAGCGGGACATCGGAGTATCCCTCCAAGGAATCGGCGCACTAGAACAGGGAGAAAGTGGAAAAGCGCACTACAGAAATGGAACCATAGGGGAGAAGCTAGAGCTGGTTTGGGCTAGCTCTAGAGGCTAACTGCAGAGGAAAAGAGGATTACAGCAGCAGATCAGGTCCACGAGAAGAGGCAGGATAGAGCTGCCCTGGAGTAAGACAGTGGTAACTGCGGGGAAATGAAACGGAATACCATGGAGGATCAGCAAAGCTTACTTAGGCAAAAACCTGCAGAGCTGGGGAGAGAAGGAATCTGTCTCTCCGGGAGATAAGATGACGAAAAATTCAGTCTAGGGCTAAATCAAAATGGCTTTTTAAAAAAACACCTTAAATCCTCTTCAGTGAATTCCCACTTTATCCGTTGTCAACATGTTGTTGTTCTTCCATTTTTAATGAAAAACAGCTTGCCTCCGCTGTGCTCCTTCACTGTAGCTCACAGCTACATCTAGTCACTGGCTGGATTTTGTGACCTGAATGAAACACAAGTTCAGATTTTTCAACTTTGCAGGTGAGGTGGCAATGAAATTTCACCAACATTGAGCCATTTACCTCCCTAAATTTGCCAGTTTCTTCACCTTCAGCTTCTCTTCACTTCAGATCCACCCTCTACGTATAGATAACATGGGAATCCTTAGCTCAAGGTGCAAAATTCATGTTCGGTGCGAACGTACCTCTAGGACTCAACTATCATAGGTGTCAGTCTGAGAGTGGAAGAAAGAGTGCAAATAGCATCTATATCTTCTGGAAAAGTTTTAATGTTTTCTGTCTGCAATTTGAGCTGAAATTAACAGCAGCGGAAGGCATGTTTTATTTGCAAGAAAAACGGCAGACAATGCAACCAAAATCCCATCTTTTTGTTTGTATGCAACTCATATGACTTTTTGCAGTCTGACAGAGCACATTACATTACACATCTTTAAAAAAAATATCTGATTTAAGCCTCTTCTGGAAGTGGTACTAACTCGGAAACCTATTTGATTTTTTTTAAAAACCTATTCAGTCTGGACGTTACCTTTCCTGCAGGCTGGATTCTCATGGTATTTGTGCAGTTCTGTTTGTGCGTTCACAAACACACAAGAATCCATCTTGTCTCACTCCTACTTTAAGCTTTTGCAACTGATCCAAAGAGGGTCGATCTATAATGTTGCAATATTAAAGGCGGGACATGCGTATAGCTGTGACAAAAAGGTAGAGCTACCAAGCTCATAGTTGAACTGAACAGATTCACCGGGTGCAGACTCAGGTTGAACCCTCCAATGCCAGAACCCTCCCGATGCTTGAATCCACCACAGGACCTCTTGACAATGTCCCACATAGACTTTGCACAAAAATCCTGCACTGATTTACGTGCCCGGTCTGAACCCTGGTAAAAGGTATTGAGGACAATCTTTTTTATTTCTGGGTGGATCATCTAAATAAGTGGTCCTCCTAATTGTCAATCATTGGTAATATGTTTACGTAGGGCTGTCCTACGTGCTCATCCCCAGTTCGCTATCTTTTTCTGAGCATGCACACTTTCAGTTATATATCTGTGGGGAGCTACGGTTTCAGACAGGCATTGAAGCTCACATTTCTTACTGCGGTTCTTTGAAAATGGCCAAGGGTCGTAAAAGAAAGAAGTGTCTACAAAGGGTATGAGAAGAAAAGAATGACCTCAAAAGAGGTGGATATATCCCAGAATGCTTTGCACAGAGAGCTCTCCTCCCAAAGCATTATGGGATTTGCTGTCACAGTGGCCAAGGCTTGGTTTGATTTTTACTTTGGTAGGGACACTATTGGTCTTAAGTTTCATTGGTCTGATGTCATTGGTTCTATGCAATATACATGCTCTTTTTATGCTTGACTTGAGCCTCAGAGGGCATTTCGTTTAAAGAGAAAAGCAGCATTTCTAGCTACCTTTATACAAATTTCATTAGCACTACACACACTAGAGGCTGTTTATCAATGTTTAAAGCATTAGAACTTTTTTCCACTTTGAAAAGGCTTTCATTTCAACTTACCAGCGACTAAGACAGAAGGTAAATATGTTCTTGTTTAACCAACTATAGTCTAAATATGTCTGTTAAAGGGCTGCTCAGTGGCACAGTGGGTAGCACTGCTGCGTTGCAGCTAGAAGGTTCCGGGTTCAATTGGGTTCTCTCCGGGTACTCCGGCTTCTTCCCACAATCCAAAAACATGACTGTTTGACGGTTAATTGGCTTCTCTAAATTCACCTTAGGTGTGAGTGTGTGCACTCACCAACGGGAAGCCAAGAACAGTGATCATCTGACCGAACGGTCAGTAAACTGATGTCACTATAAAGTCCACTATCTAATCCCCGCTCTATATAGTGATTGATTGATTTAGGGTTCGGGAGGATGTTCAGACACAGTAGGCTTGTATGACCTATGAGAACAGCAACTTTTTAAACGGCATGCTCAAGGAGAAATGGGCTTGTGCACGCTCTCACATGCGAGGAGAGGACTGTTCTTTTGAAAAATTAGCGAAAATACTCCACAATACCTTTAAGTAATTGCTTTGCTTGTGATACATTTCACCCTCCTCAGTTCACACTTTATCTGAGAGAAAAGGGCTTCAACAAAATATGGTTAGTTTGTTGGAGGGTTCCATCAATGATCATTTAATTTTACAGATGGTGTTGAATAAAGTTAGGTGTTTCTTTTTTATTTTATTTTTTATTTGAATTAGACACTGTTTTTTAAGGTGCAGTATACTAGATCCTCAACAATTAAACAAAGATTACTCATCAAATTGATTTCTTTACAAATCTAATCACATGTTGTGTGAGCTAATACACTTTTTGCAGGGATGTCATATTTAAAATTTATTGAAGCCATGGAAGAGCTGGGAAAAACAGCCAAGGTTTGTGAAAAATTTTATTGCTTAAAAACAAGGACATCTTAGGAATACTAAACACACTTTAAGAAAAGAACATGTTGAAAAGTATTAGGTATTTGTTGGCTTTTCAACCTATTTAATGTTAAAATTAATTTGTGCTCATTTTCTTCATGCTTTCTGTCTACTAATTGTTTGACTTGCCATTTTTTTTACTCTTGTCTAATCTACTCATTCTTCTATGTGCTTTACTTTCTTTCTGTCAGCTGCCCCCCCTATTTTCACTCTCACGGCTCTCATCTAGTAAATGTGATCTGTAGCCCCTCATTGGTTTCTGTCAGGGAGACAGGGAGAGGGGAAAACTTTGAAAGTGTGTCAACGTTTGAATTGGACTGCAATTAACTCATTCCCTGCAGTCACCATGCGTGAATACCAATTGCAAACTAATTAAGCTTTGCACCCTAGCACTTACACGCATAGACAAAAACACCCACACCAACACACACTTGCAGACATGCAGATCACTGTTTTCCTAATCCATCCATATAGCTCCTTGTAGAAGGGTTAAGAGTCAGTCACTTTGATGATGAAAGTGATAGTGAGAGATTGCATTCATAAGGCCACTAACCAATGGTACAAGAATACTTGCACATACATACATGCACACTGCTTCCTATCAGACTCAATTTGAAATGCGAGCAGAAAGTCATTATTACTGTAAAGATATGTAAGGTATGTGTATAGTTGTATTGGAAGATTGTGTGATGGACTCTGTGTGTCTTCTCCAGCTGGGTTGATTCCTTTGTTTAGGTTAGTTTGGGGGTAATTAACAGTAGGAGTGGTGTCACGGCTTATTAGTGTTCCCCTAGATACATATAGCTGGGCCCATTACTTTTCCTTATTAGCCTGTTGAGCTAGCCTAATGGGATTAGCAGCGCAGGGGGGTAATTTAGCATGACACAGGGAAGTGATATTATCATAAATAAGTGCATGTGTGAGCTGCCACACACAGGCATATTTATGTAAAAGCAAAAGGATGCAAAAATTATCTTAATTTGGTTGGTGGTAAACCAAAAAGGTATACTCTAAAATGATATAAGAGAAAGTCCTGAAACAGGCATAAATAATATAGTGCTTTGGAGGTCCTTTGCATGGGCTGGTTCATTAAAAGCAGCATATACACCTGCATGAAAGTGGAAAAAGGAGCTGAAATTAAAAAAAAAAAAATATTGAAACCAGACAAAACTCACAAGGATGTTACAAAACATGCCTTTCTCAAATTGCTTTTATATGTTTGGACTGTAGCATAACCTGCAATTTTTGTCTACTTTTGGCTTTAGGTCTACACACCGATATTTACCGGTATTGTTGTCATTTTGGCCATTTTTATTCATGAAAAATTTTATTCACATAAAAAAAACAAAAAAAAAATTGCCATCAATTTGAGGCTCAGCAGATTTTTCCCTCAGTGAACTTTGCAAAAAAATCTTATGGGACCAAACTTGTAAGCTAAACGACATTCTTGGTACACATATGACCATTAGAAGTATTGAAGGGAATGAAGGGAATTCATGAATTGAATGAAGGGAAATCTTGGTTTACATACTCTAATTTAAATTTTTTAGGTTTGTGTGAAACGTGGCTTCATAGTAGGATTACCAACAGCTTAATTAATACACCAGGTTATACATTTTACAGAAATGATAAGCGTGTAAATGAGGAGTAGCAATGAAAGGTAAATAGACTTCTGTGTGGTCTCGTTAAGTAGTGTGACAGCATCTAGGGTGTCAGAGGTTGATGTACTTTGGCATTAATACATTCATAGGTCTCATCAATAACTCTTCATCAATGTGTTATGTCTGGTTGCATTTGTGTGGGGTTTATTTTTTTATACAATTGCTTCTCACCAACTTGCTACTAAAAGTTGATCAGAATATGATGTCATACATAGTCAGCAGAAAGCCATGTAAAACGTTGCTAGAGAAGATTTTCAGTCTTTCAGGATATAGTTACTTTAAAAACCATGAAAAATGCCTAACTGGGTTTTATATTTGTCTTAGTTTTAGTAAATGTTCGACCCACATGCTGATAAAACTCAGTAGACACATGCAAGTTTAAAGATTTTATTTTACAAGATGTCCGTAATGTAAACGAGGGTGGATTAAGTCAGTAGAAAAAGATTGAGTTTCACCAAGGGGGCCTCAGTCTGGGTCTGGGACATTGTTGCTTTCAGGATAATCCAGGTGGTTGGAGGTAAAAAGGCCAGGAAGCAAGGTGGGATGGTGGACAGAGCTTGACCACTGAAAATGGAATGAGGAAGGGAGGAGTTGGAGCTGTCAACAGGACACTTGAGATAATTCATTTTGCAGATGGGTTTCAGAGACGGAGACTTTGAGCTGGATCAGGATTCTATCACTTATCACAGAAAAACCTTGAGCAAAGCACAAGGTAAGCAGTTTTTCCTAAAAGAACAACAGAGAACTAAAAATGCACAAAGGGCTTGAAGTTACCACATTGGTTAACACTCAGGCATCGGTGGGCCGGCAGCACACTCATCTTATACTCCTCTCAGATGACACCAAATGGTCTCAGGTGTGCTTCCACCTGCTGGAGGACCCATCCACTATTCTCCATGATATCATCTGATGAATGAACAAAAGAACAGCAGCAAACTCCCAGACACCAACAGTTTTTTCTTTTTTTTTAATAACCATTACCAACTTACCAATCTGATATTTATGTCGAGATTTATACTTTAATTCAAAGCTGTGTTCTGTTTTTGCTCAGTGGTCATAGGTTGACTCGGCCAATTGCTCTAAAAACAAAGTCCCTTGGATAGTGTCCACAAATACACTTACCGGTATTTTTAAGTTTTTGTATGACTGTGAGAGCATTTTTCTTGCTAATTTATGTCTTTCTATTTTCAATTATTTTTAGGGGTCAGCAGTGGCTGTAGGTTTACAGGATGATGGGGGGCGCCATTACAATGATGGCCAGTGGCACAGCCTAAGAGCAACCAGAAAAGGCGCCATGGGAACAGTTGTCATAAACCATCAATATAGTGGTAACTTTTCTAAACTCTTACTGACCGCTCTGTGTGTTTGCTTCTTGTGTTAGTGGGTTAGTTTGGTGGGCACATTGTGCTTCAATATGCCCAATAGTGTGTGGATAAAGGTTTGATTGTAAATGTTGTGAGTTATTTTGTGCATTTCATTATCAAAATCTGATTTACTTTGGGTATTTAAGTATGTTTGGTTACTTTTTTTTTCAAGCTGCTTTTTCAATTCAATTCAAATAAGTTTGTTTATATAGCACCAATTCACAACATGTCATCTCAAGGCACTTTACAGATACAATTCAACCAGATCATACAGTCAGATTGGTTCGAATTTTTCTATCTAAGGAAAACCAGCTGATTGCATCGACTCATTGACTCTAAAGCAATCCCTCACACCAAGCATGCTTGTAGCTACAGGGGAAAGGAAAACACCCTTTTAACAGGAATAAAGCCTCCAGCAGAACCAGGCTCAATGTGAGCGGCCATCTGCCGAGGCAAACTGGGGTTCAAAGAGACAGAAGCAGAGATACAAAAGGCAACTGTCAACCAATTCCGCAGGCGGTGCCATCCAGGAAACACACAGCCAGGCAGACAAGCTCCAAGCCTACTCCCATGTTCAGAGGATTAAATAGAGCACATCCAGCTTGTCACAGTCAGAGAAACAGGACTACATTGAAAAACAGGCCGAGCTCCAACATCAATAAACAAAGATTTAAATGGTAGCTGCACAGCTGATATATCTCTCCGGGATGGTGTCACAGCCAAACGGAAACAGACAAGGTAAAGCTACTATGAGAAAAAGCAGAGAGGGCGTAAGGTTGGAGATTGAATTAACAGATTCTCAGAGTTGGAGAATAGGGATAGAATAAAGCAGAATGATGAAAAATGAGTCCCTATGTCCTCCAGAAGTCTAAGCCTATAGCAGCTTAACTAGAGATAGCTCAGGATAACCTGAGCCACTCTAACTATAAGCTTTACCAAAAGGAAAGTTTTAAGCCTACCCTTTAAAGTAGACAGAGTGTCTGCCTCACGGACTATAACTGGTTGTTGGTTCTAGAGGAGAGGATCCTGATAACTAAAAGATCTGCCTCCCATTTTACTTTTAGAAATTTTTGGAACCACTGGTAAACCTGCAGATTGAGAGTGCACCCGGGGTTGTCAGGGTTTTGGAGGACTAATACATTTGGCCAGATTTCTAGAAATAAGAGCTGCACCGTCCAAAGTGGGATGGATGACATCTCTCCGAATCAGACCTGGCTTTCCCCAAGAGGATTGCCATTTACTGATGTAGCCATCATTGTTTTCAGGACACCACCTATACAACCAGCGGTTGAATGACGACATGCAGCTAAACATGTTATCACTAGTCAGATCAGGGAGGGGACCAGAGAAAATTTTATTGGGGTATTGTGTGTACAATAGAGGAAATAGATTAATAGATTAATATTAATCTTTCACACAAGAGGAGCGTTCACAACTATCATTCCACATAGGGAGTACTGTATGGCTATTTATGAGTTCCTCTAATTAAGCTTTCTTTTTTGTTTTGTTTTTTCAACTTGCCCTTATCTTGCCATCTTTTATGAATATTTAATTGCTCTAATTTTACAAACTTATGTGGTACTCTCCTGCTCTTTTGCTTTGCCACTACCATCCCATTCTACCTGCTCCTAAGGAAGTGCATCAGCACCCAGTGGTAACAGCATTATTGGTGAAAACATGGGTTTGTTCATTGGAGGCCTGCCCGAAGAATTTGCTCTTCTAAGGGATGATTCAGGTAAATATCCATTCATATTAAAGTGGTATATAGTATATTGATGATCTGACTGTCTGGCGAACTTAAATGTACAACCGGATAAAAAAAAAAAAAAAAAACACCAAAAGGGTTAAATTTATTTTTGTTGTTGTTGTTTTTTATAATGTTTTGAACTTTTCCGGTATACACCTGTTGCCAAGAATTTTCCATCGATGGATCATGCATTTTAATTCCCTATTAATTTGGAGCTTTCCCTTTTGTATTTAAACTATTCTGGTTTTAAGGCAAATTATTATTAAGTTGTGTATTATGGATGAAAAATCCAAATGATAATTAAAATAACACATTTAATGAGATTTAAAAATGTATGGCCTTTCTAAAATTATGTTTTAACGGTTAACCTTAAATGGAGCCTGAATCAATTAACATCATTTGATTAAGCAATTTATAAAAATAGGATTTGGTTGACGCCTTGAGTGTCTGTCTTACCAGGGGATACGAAACTGGTGCGAAGGGGCTTCTCTGGCTGTCTAAGGGACGTTAGTTTAAAGATGACTGACAACCCTTTAGAGGAATGGAAATTACTGGATTGGAAAAAAGCCACAAAGAAGTTGGCAGTGTACGAAAGCTGGGAAGGATGTCCTCTTCATACTGTGGAAGGAGTCCATTTTCTTGGGGATGGTAGGATTTTACTTTTGATTTCTTTGATAATTCACTTATTTTATGTCTACAGTTTTTTGGTTTCAATTTTACACTTTGTTGGTAGTTTGCACTGCAAATTGTTCTGTAAACAGGAACGATCTGCTTTGTGGACTGTCAAACTGTTTATAAACCTCTTCCTTCCATATTCAGTATTTTCTTCTTTTGTAACTTCTTTTGTAATAAAAAAATTAATGTGGAAAGTCGGTCTACTTGCAGGTTATTTGGAGTTAGACGCAGGTGTTTTCAGTGAAGGACAAAACTTCGACATTTCCATGGATTTCAGAACTGACCAGCTCAGTGCACTTTTGCTGTTCACATACAGCTCACAAACTGATGATTATATGCTTGTAAGATATTGGACTTATTTAAAGCAAGTATTTAAAGAACATATATAATTAAATTATGTTTAATTGTTATATCGTACAAATGTTTTTGTTTTTTTCTAGGTTGAACTGGAAGCTGGTCTCTTGTCTTTTATTCTTTCTTCTGGAGGCCATGTGACTGAACTTCGTATGTGGGTGGGACTTAGCTACTGTGATGGAGACTGGAAGCATTTGTCATTGGCAAAACGGGGTTCTCTCATCTCTGCTGCATTGGATGAGGTGGCCGAGGAAATAAGGGGAGTGGGGGGGGCAGCAAGACTGAGAGCTGAATCACCGATGTACCTCGGCGGCGTACCAATTGAACTCTCGCACCAGGCTCTGAATGTTCATAGTCACAAACATGGTGAGATGAATTCTAATTTCAGGGGTTCGACATTGATGTTTTTTTGGAAGGGCTGTGTCTGTTTTATTATTACTTCTTAGTAGCTGTAAAAAGAATTTCTACAATCTCCAAATAATTCAAAACACAAAAAGTTTCCATTTGTCAAGGAGCTTTCATTAAAGTTGTACAACTAAGTCTATATCTTACAGATTATGTTGTTATAAACTGCCCCTCCTTAACCTGCAGTAATAGAAATTAAGGAGTTATTGCAAGTTTTCTAAACCTAAGGTAAACCTATTACCAAGAATACCAATAACATCCAGTACATGCACAGTCAAAATTGTTAGTGTTTTGAAGGATGAGTGATAAATAGAATGGAGTGAAGAAAAAAGTTTGTCAGATCAACAAAAATGTGTTGTGGAATATTTTAGTACTCCTGACTTATCATTTACCCTTTTTTTTTTTTTTTTTTTTTAAGGGCTTGGAGGCTGCATACGGGGTCTAACTGTTCGCAGTGATGAAAGAAATCCTTCTGCCAGACAAAGTATTAATCTCTCAGTTGCCTATCGCCGCTCTGTTAGAGTCAACTTAGATGGCTGCCCCACCAGTGAAAGCCGGTTTAACTGCAGAGGAAATGATTCAGTGCTTGTGTACACTGGAGGACAGACAAAAGCCACAGATCATAGTTTGCAGCCTTTTACAGGTAACAATGTACAGCTTACATTCAGCTGTGTTGAACTATCAGTGGGAAGTTATACAAATTTCTAGTAATTTAGACAAAAATAAAGCTTGCACTTTTTGCAGTTTTAAAACCTTTATTTCGTTTTTTTTATCTCACGAAAACTCACAATTCAGCTTCTCAAAAATATTATTACATTAAATCCACACAAATTACTTACTTTTAAAATGTTAGATCAGTGGAAAGTATTTCCTAGACTTCACGTAATAAACACGACATACATCAATATAGAAATACAAAATGCACTTATGGGGCAGAAATTCTTAAATTAGTTAACTGTTTAAATACACTAAGTATTTGTGTTTTACTAAAATCAAAGCAAATCTTCAAGACAAATTCCCTTTTATCCATTAAGATATAAAAACAAATCCCATCAACCTTCTGTATTTATTTATATTCCAGCTGTTTTCCTAATTAATTTGAAGGACAGCAAATGTAAAAAATAAAATAAAAATAATAAATTTAATTTTCCTTTCGGTGGTGCTGTAGGGATAATCTATGTCCATGTTTTTATTTTGTAAAAGTACCTTACATGACTATTTACATACACAAGGTAAACACTAGTTCTAAATGAATGTGGTGAAGATGATGAGTTAATATTTGTTAGGCTAGCAGTTCTGGGTGCATAAAAATTAGATCTATGCTTATCTCCACCTATAAGGAGGGTTTTAAAACTGACTGACCTGAAATCATGTCTAAAAAGATTTGAGCATTTGATACATTTATGAAAATTACTCCAAGATACTATTTTTAAGGCTACTGTAATCTGAAGCCTATTGGTTTTTAAACATTTATTTGGTGTACTTGTTGAATGCATTGACTCTAATTTAGAATAACATCTGCTTCCTCTCTCATATGTGCCCCCAAATCCTCTGTGGATTCACACTTAAAGAGTACTTGTACAGGTTTGTCGCCTTGGCTCCAGGAGGTTTGGCAGCATCACCATGGCAGAGAGGTCGAAGCCGTGGCCAAGGTATTACATGTCTTTAGCAGTGTGGGATATTCTTTTTTGCACTATTAGATATTATGATATACAATGCTTATGATTATTCAGCTCACTCTTGTCATTTTTAACCACAATCCATTCTGTATAAAGTATTTGTACAAAGTGTTCCTTTTCATTTTCCCAAGATTTTTAATTATGGTAGATGTTGAAATTTGCATTTTTTTCCCCCTCTAACCCCCAAGTAATTTTTCAGGCGAAATCAGCATTATCTGTACTCTATTTTAGCCTTATTGAAGGCCATTGATATTACTGGAGTCTAACGGTATAAGAGATTGATAAGGCCTCCATAAAGGGCATCACAGTAAAAGGCTGTTAACCCAGAATGGCCTATATGGTCCCTTGTGTGATATAAAGCCGCTCATTAGTAGTGAACGATACACTAGTAGGTCTCAGAACGCCATCCTATGACCAGAGTGAGAGAGACAAATTGAAAAGAGGCAGAAAGTGCTAAAAAGGGAAGAAATAAAGGACAACAGGGGTTTGGTGAGGTAACAGCTCAGAAAATGTAAGAGGAAGAGAGGAATTATATAATATAGGAAAGGGACAGGAGGGGTTTGAGAAGGGACAATGAAAATGCGTAAAGCGATCGAGCTCTACAGTACAGCAAGAAAAAAGGATAAATACAAAGTAAAAAGCACAGTAATGGATGATACAAAAAAACAGTACTTTAGGAGATTTTGAGAACTACTGAATGAAATGATACCACGAAAAAAAAAGCAAAGGTAAAAACTGTTTTAAAAAACAAGGTTAAAGAATGACTGAAGACTTAACTAATGAATGATCAGAAGCGAGTAGAAAAGAAACACTTGGATGGATTCCTCTGAGTGGCAAATGTTTGGAAAAAAGGTACCAGGGCGAAGTGGAAGGCTGAATTCTGTGAAATATAGCCATGAAAGAATGACTGGCTGTATTAAATCAGTGCTGAAAAGTTACTGCTCTCGTAAATACTTTTTATGCAAATGGTTTGGTATGATTTACTGAACCTATTAAAGACTGAGAGATGGGGAAGGTTTTTTCTTTAATCTCAGGTGCTCTCTACCTGTTGTTTCTGTTGTTTGTATACTTTTCCCTTTAGGTTTGACTTGATCTTTGCTCCTTGCTAAGGAGGTCACGACCCCCACTTGGCATATATGAAAATGTCACATAAATATTTTACATTTTTGAAGGAATTTTTCATATGAATTAATTTACGGATGATATTCCGTTTTACTGAGATGCATCTTTATATCATGTAATGTGTGTAAGCCTTTTTAAAAAATCATTCACATTAAATTGCTTCTTACAGCCTTCTCTAATTTTGATTATTTTTTTCTCCCCTGACCTTTTTTTTTAGTACCTACATCTGTACCACCTCCATCCACAGTGCAGAGTATCAGTGGCTTCAGTGCCAAGGTGAGCTGGATTCCACCTACAGGTGACATCCGAGGGCTTATTGACAGATATGAGCTTAAAGCCTACAATAAGGACCACCCAGAGGTACCACCTATCACAGCCACTTACCTGGCTAATGGCAATTTCACAGGTAAGGGACACATATTTTCAACCTCTAAATTATTTAATGTGGGACATGTAGTGAATTTCATGCCTCAGCCTGACAGTAGAGCAATTTTTTTTTTATTTCTTTTGCACAAAGCTAAACATTAAGTCCATTTGTATACACATATATAAGTTGTAAACCTTCCATAAATAAAAAATACTTATCGAATATAACTCTTGACTTTATATTGTATTGCTGATCAGCTCTTTAATTTAACTAATTTTATTTTGTCAGACAGAATAAGAAGAGTTTACTTTGAATTACTGTAGGGCCAGGCAAAAGGTATGGTCCCTTGAGGGAGAGAGGAGAATAGGGATTAAAAAAATATGGGAGAAAAAAGTGTTGACACTGTACTGTACTATGTTAGCATATAAACAAAGACATCTACAAAGACCAGAGATGGCAAAAGTACTCACTTTCCGTACTTGAGTAAAAGTACAGATACTTGTGTTAAAAAATACTCTGGTAAAATTGGAAGTACTGATTAAACTTCTTTACTCAATTAAAAGTAACAAAGTACAGGCTTGTAAATTTACTTAAAGTATAAAAGTAAAAGTAGAAATCACTTTTTTCATGCCGTTGCCTACATTTTGAATGGATGTCTGCCAATAGGACTAGATCTCCGTTGTGTTCATTTTCAATCATCTCGTCGTCCATGCTACTATGCTAACGCCACCAAGCTGCAATGATTTGCCGCCAATGAATACCGCAGAATCTGTCGATTCATCTTGTAGTGGTGCGTCAAATGCAACGTAGATTCCCATCCAATTAGATTGAATATGGTATTGATGACGTGAAAAATAATAACGGTAACTCCATTGAAATGATTCAAAACTAAATTAACGAGACAATTTTTTTGAATATAAGGAGTAAAAAGTACAGATATTTGTGTAAAAATGTAAGGAGTAGAAGTAAAAAGTCGCCATAAAAATAAGTAGTAAAGTAAAAATATCAGAAAAATCTACTTGAGTACAGTAACGAAGTATTTGTACTTCGTTACTTCCCATCTCTGACAAAGACATACCGGCAACAGTCAAAGAAAACACAATTAGCAATTTAAACCTTTCCTCTGTCATTATAAGAGGCTTAAATACTTTTGTTAGATGTATTTTTAAAGTCCTGAACAGAATCCAATCAAAAGAGATGTACAGTAAAAAATGACAAAGCACGCATAGTTTCATTTATTAAGTTTTAACGTGATTACAATTCTGTTTGCCCTGCTGTAGAAGATTTGTTTGATTTCTCACCCATCTATAAGGACCTTGGCTTAAACCAAAAACATTTTAACATCTTATTTTACTCTCTAGTCATTCATGATTACACACATACAGTACATCGACAGTGTTCCAGCTAAACCCGTTGATGTCTCATTGGCGGGTGTCCAGCTTTAGAAGACTGTCTCCATTTGGAACAAGACACTCAGAACTACCCCAATGATCTCATTCCCTGGCATCACTCCTTTCTGTCTCTGTCTTTCTGTTGCTCACTTTCCCATCTTTCCCCACTTCATCTTTTATGATAAAGATGATGTCTGCGTCCACTTCTGCTATTCGTCCCCACTGCTATGTCTCTAGGCAAATATGATGATGAGCTTGCTGCCTCTGTCTTCTCCAGCGTCTCTGTCGTTGGTCCTTATGCCCTCCCCCTCCCTTTTCCAGACATTTACTCCACTGTGATAAGGCTTCTTCTTAATTTATGATAGCCTCGACACCTGACTGCCGAATTACACCGATGGCTAAAAAAACACAGAAAGCAAATGAGGGTGTAATAGCGGCAGAGTGGGGCCCTGGCCCCCTAATTGAATTAAAGACATGGATAAGACTGAGAGAGAGAGAAAAATGAGTGCAGGGTGATTGAGAATGGAAGGTATAAAGGGGAGTGGGGAGGAGTGGAAGAAAAACAGGGTATGTAAAAAAGTGACTTTGGAAACGCATAAAGTAGTGAAGCAAGCCAATGCGGCTAAATCAAAAACATCAGAGAGAGACGAGTAAGGCGTAACAACGTTAACAAAACGGGTCTGTTTGCCAAGCACTGCAAATTTGCTCAGCAACAGTAGCACACATGAAAAATAAAGTATTTGTAACTCACTTTTGATCAATTTGCATACAAATTATTCATGCTAAGCTAAGTGTGGAATGAAATTAGTCAGTTAATGCATTTTTAGGGAATAAGGGTCTTAAGGCATTCAGTTTTTTGTAGGAAAAGTAATATAGTTTAACCCCTGTGGGGCACCTTTGGTTTATTTAAAGTTTAACTATTAAAATATTAATAAAATGTGGAAATGTAACAGAGTCCATTGGTTCAGCTAGCAAAAGTAACAGCTATAAAGGGTTTAAAATATTAGGGGTGTCTTATAAAGACTTGCAGTATATGGGGAACATGGATTCTGGCAAAACATTGGGCAGCTCTGGTGGGGGTGGGGTCAGTGCTACACTTGGGCCGCCGTTGACCTCGATTGAGGACATTGGAACAGTGGGAGTAATATTTTGAGAATTACTCAAACCTGCTCTCAGGTCTTTCATGGTGGACGCAGAGGCTGGTTGAGTCTGACTTATTCATCGGCAGGTTTAAAGTCATCATGGTGGTCAAATAGCTTTACAATGGGAAGAATCAGGGCTGGAAGAGATCTGAGTAGCTCTGGTCTCTGAATGTTTTGGCTGTCATGGATGGTTATCGTCTTCAATATTTTTTGGTGATCAAGGACAATACCATTTGACCGCCACATTGGGGTGGTGGGCAGATGTAGTGTTCCAAGTACTGTGGGAACACACTCCTCAGCCTCCCTGGGAAGGCCTATGCCATGGTGCTGGAGAGGAGAGACTAAGGCCCCGTCCACACGAAGCCAAACCCTGACCTAAACGCACAAATTTTTCACCAAACCAGCCTCTCATCCATACGAAGCCGGCGTTTCGGGGGTCTGTAAACAATCTTTTTTTTATTCAGCCTTCAGAGTGGGAAGATTTTGAAACGCCGTTTTAGCGTTTCCATCTTTAAGCTCTAACCGCATTTTTTTTTCTTACACGCATGCGTTTACATCTCCGTCTTTACGACAAACGTTCTGGAAAATATTAGCGTTTCGTGTTCGTTTTGTCTTCGTGTGGACGGGGCCTAACTGATTGTTGGCTCAACTTCAAAGGAGGTTCGGACCTTAGTGCGAAGTGGCAGGGGTTGAAAGCAGCTCCTTCAACTCAGAGTTCTTGGTTTTCAATTGGAAAAGGGTAGCTTCTAGGTCAGATGAGATTTCCTAACTCAAGTGGAGGATTTTAACAACCTCAGGGTGTATTTTATGGAATAGGGGTGAATGGAACAGGTGAGCTTACAAATGCGGCAATGAAGCTGCACCAGCCTGTTGTACTAAAGAAAGAGATGAAACAAAAGGTGAATCATTTCATGTACAGTAGTGGTTAGTCTATGTTCATAGATTCAGCAATGGTAAAAGAAAAAAAAATCTGGATCATGATCATAGGTGCAACATCCTGGATACAAGCTGCCAAAATGATCTTCCTCTGCACAATTGCCTGCTGTCCTTTAGAAATAGAGTAAGGGGCCTGGCCATCTGGGAGGGCATTGGAGAATAGTTTTTCATCTACATCAGGGGTCTGCACCCCGCGGCTCAATAGCTGCATGCTGCTCTTTAATGCCCCCCTACGGCTCCCTGGAGCTTTTTCAAACATGAACAATTTATTTTTGTTTGTTTTGATATGGTTTACAGGAGGTCAAAAAAAAAGTTCATTGTGTTTTCCAATGCTGTAAAAATGTGTAAAATAAATACATTTTCAGGAAAGGAAACACAGGTTTCAGCGCGGCGAGGTGCCAGGCAGGTGGCTGTTCTAAACAAACTGGCAGGTGTTACTTGGGCCATGGATCCCAAAGGGAAAAAATAGAAGATAGCTGAGGAGAACAGCGGATTCAAAGAAGAATGGACCAAATACATTTTTTTTTTATTACCAATGTGGAAGGATTGCCTCCATGTTTGCTTTGTAACAGGAAGTTGTCAAATAATAAAATTTGGAAAGGCATTTCCAGGGAAGGCAAGCTAAATTTGCAGCGGATCACAAAGTTGGATGTGACTTAAAAATGTGATTGCACTACTTCTGGATAAATTATGGATAAAACCATTTACAGATAAAACGGGTAGCGCTCTTATGCAGGTACGGTAATTTTCTTTCATTTCTTTTTCCCAAATTCTCAAGATAAAAATAACACCAAAAATATGATTTCTTTGTGTTTCTATTATTTCTACAATGTAACAAAACCTAATACATTAATATTGTAATGGAATTTAAACAAATCACCAAATACCGTACAGCAGAGTAGTCACATGATGTAACATTTGCTCTAGGATAAACATTTTATCATGAATGTTTATTATATATTTAAGTCCACATAGTCCTTTTTTTATAGTGGGCTAATACGCTTAGAGCCCTTGTTTCCATATGAGGCTTATATAAGACATTTTCCTGCTCCAGACAGATTTGATTTTAGCTTTTTTGGTCCAATGTAGCTCTTTGAAAATTTTGGGTTGCCGATCCCGATCTAGGTATTCCAGAAACATCCCACAGAAAAGAAGGGGAAGGCCTAGAACACACTGAAGGATCTATGTCTCTTACCTGGAACACAGTGTTGGAGAGAGGGAAGACTAGGTGTCTCTGCTGAGATTGATTCTCCGAAACGTGGTCCCTAATAAAGTAGACGACTGGAGTAAAACACAATGAAATAACAGAATAAGAACAATGAAACAGGTCAAGACGTTAGCATATCAAATCCTCAGAAGGATGCAGATGGTGCAAAGTCTTCATTCAAATCAGGAGATCATTTGTTATGTTCCCCCACAATATGATGTTAGATGTTTACGTACTATGTTGTGGGGAGAAGCCAGATTGTGGAACCTTCACAAGCATTGACCAAATTAATTAGGAAGGGTAAAGTTGACAAGTAGAGGGTCATGGTAAATGGCCTGTACTTATATAGCACTTTTTCAAGTCAGGAGACTTGACCAAAGCACTACATTCAGTCATTCACCCATTCACACACTCACACACTGATGGTGGCAAGCTGCATTGTAGCCACGGCTGCTCTGGGGCTCACTGACTGAAGTGAGGCTGCTATACACTGGTGCCACCGGGCCCTCTGACCACCATCAGTAGACAATGGAGGTGAAGTGTCTTGCCCACAACGACACTGAAAGTCGGAGCCAGGGCTTGAACCGTCAATCCTTCGATTTCAGGGCAAATTCCTACACTCGACAGCACTGTTTTATTAACAAAATAACCAAGGGGAACCAAAACAAAACAAAGAAACAACAGGCTTTATCAGATTATATAATATACAACCAAAATATTTGCTGAAGAAATAGGAGGACCTTTCTCCAGTCTTTCTGGTGCAGCCCACCTCCGTCTGTTCTGTTCTATTCCGCATCACATCTGTGTTTGAAAAAAAGATATTGAGACTGTGTTTTGGAAAGTGAAGAAAATAGAGACATGCTTATTGATGAATTGAACATTCAAGTTCCATGAAGAGGGACCATGACACAGTATGTGAACCTACTACCTTTTTTCACATTCAAAATGCTGAGAACTGCTCCACTGTTATCCCATTAGTTACAGATATTTGTAAATATGTGGTATTTTCTCTTTGTATTTAGAGCTTAGTTAAAGAAATTGTGTATTCATGTTAAAATAGTTTACAGATTGTATTTCATATCTGTAATGTGGTCTTTCCTACTTCCCTGTTCTCTTCAGGTGTGATGACTGGTCTCACTCCATCAACTCAGTACATTGTTACTGTAAGTGCATGTAGTCCTGCTGGCTGCTCTGAGAGTCCTGTTGGTAACAGTGGTGATGATAATGATGTAAGATCAAGCTTCAAAACCCCAGAAGAAGGTAAAAAAAAAAACAAAAAAAAAAACATTTCTTTATTTCTGTGAATATAAATAATTTATATTCAGTACTGATGTATGGCTGTTCTTATTTCTTAATGTCTAGGCAGTTCTTATCACACTGAATGTGTATGTTGAAAGAATGAAGCAATTGGAGAGCAGAAAAGAGCTTGACAAGATGGCAGATAATAGATTAGAAAGACCATAAAGAAATATAAACTTGACTAAGGAAGAGAAGGATTTTTCTTCATTTTTCTCAGTCCAAGCATTAATCTGTGTTGGACTAACCAGCCTTGTTGGGGAGATAATGTGACGGCAGGGGTCAGTACAGAGACAGCAAAAATCAATGTGACGCTTAAGGGAAGAAACAGATTACTGTATTGATTCCTACAGAGCTCAGAGTTAAAACACTGAAACATGTCAGGGAGACTCCATGAATAAAAGTGTATTCAGAATTCTTTTTTCATCAGTGTATTCTATTCCTGCCCAATTTTATTCCCCAGTGAAGACATCTTACACAGAAATCTTTGCAGCTTTTTAAATATTTCTTGAATAGAATATCGGGGATGAAATGTAGACCAGTGTATATGCAAAACAGGTATATACCTATATATGTATATACCGTATGTATATATTTGTAGGTATATATATATATATACCTACAAATGTAGAAAGGCAATCATCCTTCAATTTGACTTACAGTTAATTTTTTTTTTTTGTTGCTGATGCACATATAGATGAATTTAGTATTATGTTTTCATGTTTTTTTTTCATTTCAGTTCCAGACAGTGTCTCGCCTCCACTTGCAGTTTCATCTCCTTCAGCTCTGTTTATCACCTGGGAACCTCCAGCTAGGTAATATCAAAAACATTATGTTTTACTTTCGCTCAGTCACAAATTTGCCACCTTACTTTATTTTAGTGCAGCCATATCAAGAACAATGTTTCAAAAAGGCAGAATGTGCTTGAAATTATTACCTCCTTGTAGAGGCCTTATTTTTCTCCAGTAACTACCAAGTAGTCATCAATGTTTTGCATTAATATGAAGGAAATGCTAAATAGATTATTAATTCTGACAGAACAGCTATTTTAATAACTTGAATGTGTAAGGTTGGGGTTTAGTGATGGAAGGCTATCACTAACACTTACAACCAGCTTGAGTTCTGTTTTTTTCCCCAGAGGAATGTGCCGCAGTGTAGAGGTTGTTCAAAATAGGTAACAGATACTTGTGTGCATGTCAGCATACACTTTGGGGTAGAGCTTTTTGGACAAGAAGGGCAGCACACAGCACAGTTTTTCCTTATGTGCTAAAAAAAATGTCAAGGGCAGATTGAAGTTCAGCAGGTAGTAAAAACAGAAAGACTGGGACTGGGAAGTGTTCTCATCATTTTTTTTAGGATGATTTTTGTGTTTTAAAGATCTTCATCATCTACCTCCTTAACAGAAAATGGTTCAAAGATCTTACCTATAGAACTGATTGGAAACATTAAAAAGAGGAATGGTCAATATAGTATTGGATATATGTATACGCTTTCCTTTGATGCTTCCAAAATGTTTAAATTGTTTTTCTCTATATTTTAGAAATGCATAAAAACACCCAAAGCAGTGAATCTTTAAATGTCTTCTACTATTCCACAGCAGTGTCATCATTTAAGTCCTTTTCTCTTTCAATAGGCCAAATGGAGATATTACGGAGTATTTGCTCTATCACAACGATGAAATGGTCTACAGAGGAAAAAACAGGGACCATAACATCACTGGTAAAGACAAGTGTGGGCTGTTGTGTGCTGTGGCTGAAACTGTAGAGAAATGGGGCTTCACTGAAAAGAGAAGGGTTTAAAAAAAACGAAATGTGGGATTAGCATTTGAAAGACTAAAGAGTCTCAGGCTTTACCAAGGGGGATAGCACATTGAAAAAGAACTTGACATACCCATGAAAATGAAGTGACAGAGAAACCAAACATTAGTGTACATCCATGCACACAGTTTGCCCTGACAGATTTTTTTTAAATAAAGACAGGTGTAAAGCGTTTGTTGCACTAACTATAAAAACATGCAACAGATAACACTTAAAGCATCACATAAAGGTAAACGTAAATATACTTAAACTATTTCAGCATATAACCACACATGTTAGTAAGTAGGTAACAAGCTTTTTCTAACCTAAACAAAAGCAAAGAATGATATTTACAACACAAAACTGAAAAATTTGTTACCTTTGTTCAGGCAAAAAACTGGTTGCTACTGTTTATAGTTTCTGTTTTGAGCTCATATGCCATCAACAGGTAGGTTCATCTTTTATATTTTCCAAGATTTTTAAAATAGAATTAACTGTGTTTCATCTTCTAAATACTTGGGTAATGTGTCTCTGAATTACATGTTCCCTTGCTGACAACCGCTATGCTGGCAATGGAAAAGCCTGTTAAGGTTGTCCGAGTGCATGGCTGCACAGGAAGCCATTCACTTAGGGACAATAGAGACCTCTGATTGGGCAGTTGCTGTTGTGCCTCAAGGGTTGATTGACATGTGGCGTCACAGCATTTGGCAAACCACCAAACGGTTTGAAAATGTTTGAAAATTGGAATGCGAATTAAAAAGCTAGAGCCTAACTTCTCCAAGCAGAGTTACTGTACAGACTCTGTGATTCTCACTTTGATTAGAGTTATTATGGACATTGTAATTACTCTTGTGCAAGAATAGATAGTGTTTAAAGATGAGATTTTAACAGTGAGGTGAAGAGAACAGTGGCCCAGATGATTAGGGGATTTCATACAGGAAGAGGGGCAGTAACCTTAAGACAATAGGGTGAAAAGTGAAAAAAGAGAAAAACTTACTGCCAGAGTTTATCTTATCTGTGGTGTCATGGACTGTGAGCTTTTCTTTCTTTGTAACTATATGTTTGTGTTTTAGGTCTTGGTGTGTACTCAACTAACTTATTGGTACTGAGTGCTTGCACTAAAGTGGGCTGTACCAACAGTTCACGAGTTACAGCTCTGACCTCTCAGCTTCCACCTGGGCCACTACATGCACCAAGTCTCACCTTGCTGGACTCAAGGACTTTATTTGTGGAGTAAGGACACCCACAACACACCCACACCTACTGCATGATGTACATATGGACATAAGTCCAGAGCAGCCAAAAATTACAGGCTTACAAAGCACAATATATAATGGAATATTTTCATTTATCACAAGAATTTTTGGACTTTTGGTTGACCTTTGCTACCAGAGTGGACCCATTTTCTGCTCTGTTTTGATCTGAGTTCTTCACAGGTTGATTTTTCAAACCCGTTTCCATTACCTGGAGTTAACCCCCATATAATACCCCGCTAGACCCAAGTCGAAGTATTTCCATATACCACAGCAGTGCATTCTGTCATACCCTTTCTGAAAGAGCCAAACACTGGGGACAAATTTTGGGGACAAACCAATCAGCAACCACAATCAGCAACGCGCCCGCCGACAGGTGTGACAACAGGGTTGGTTGTCCCAGACTCAGAATTGGGGGCAGGGGCATCCATGGACAATCCCCTTTTTTTTTATTAACTTTTTTTATGTCTAGAAAGACATGCTGTACTGCTTTATTGCTAAGTTACATAAATTGTTTCCTATTTATGCTTTCTTTTAATAATCCACTGCTGTATTTGAGAAGTACTCCCACCTGCCATTAAATGGTTACACTGCTGACGCAGCATCTTTAGTTTATCAAGCTGGTCGTGGATGGACAGGAAAATACCAAACATTCATTTTCCACTCCATCCTGTGTCATGCAGCAGCTCCATCAACTTTACATAGAAATTGTATGGTTTCTCTCACCTGAGGAAACTGACCAAATCCGCAGGAAGAGCTTAACTTTGGGTCGCTGCTCACCTGCAGAAAGTCCAATGGCGGTCACAGGTTGTAAGCACTCCGATGGCACAAAAAACTCTGTCAAGGATTTCTTGTTAATCCTTGCTAGATTTAAATATAATTAACACCGCAGCAAGAGGTAATATGAGGTTATGATGTTTTGAATTTGACTGATGTGACCAGGCATGTCCACAGATGCATCAGGCAGGGGCTGCTTCTCTGGAGGTGAAATACAGTAACAGACGATCCTGCTGTACAGCATTTTCAACTGCTAAGAAGATTTTGACTATAAAATTTTTTGCTCTAATCTAAATACAAGTGGAAGTCTATAAATGGGAAGGGCTGTTCGCTTTTTTTGTTAGCCTGCAATGCCCCATACTAGACACTTAGACGGCTATAGGGCATTGCAAGCTAACAAAAGAAGCCAAACGACCCCAAAACGTGCCAAACATGTTTTGTTTTTAACTTTCTTTTTTTGGAATACTAATACATATTTGTCTTGATTGCAGAAAAGATGTATTAAAAATTTACTTTTCTTGGCATGACTTCTTTATATTGTGCCTTGTGAAAGTATTTGGCCCCCTTGAACTTTTACCAGATATCAGGTTTTAAACATGTAAAATGAATCTGCCCCTTTACTTTCAGTGCAGCAAACTATCTCCAAAAGTTAATTGAGGATCTCTGAATGATCCAGTGTTGACCTAAATGTCTGATGATGATAAATAGAATCCACCTATTGGTAATCAAGACTTTTTATAAATGCACCTGCTCTGTGTTCGTCTCAGAGGTCTGTTCAAAGAGCAGAGAGCATCATGAAGAACAAGAAACACACCAGGCAGGTCCAAGATACTTTTGTGTAGAAGTTTAAAACTGAATTTGGATACAAAAAGTTTTCCAAAGCTTTAAACATCCCAAGGAGAAATGTGCAAGCGACAATATCAAAATGGAAGAAGTATCCAACCACTTCAAATACGGCCGTCCCTCTAAACTATCAGCTCAAACAAGGAGAAGACTGATCAGCGATGCAGCCAAGGGGCCCATCATCATTTTGGATGAACTGCAGAGATCTTAAGCTGAAGTGGGAGACTCTGTTCATAGGACAACAATCTGTCATATGCTGCACAAATATGGCCTTTAAGAAAGAAAGACATTTCTTAAAAAGATTTATAAAAAGGCGCCTCAAGCCACCTGCAAGACGCAGCCAACATTTGTAAGAAAGTGCTTTGGTCAGTTTAAACCAAAACCAAATTTTTTGGCAACAATGCAAAACGTGATGTTTGGCTTTAAAGCACCGTTTCCACTGTTAAGTATGGTGGTTGCAGCATCATGGTTTGGGTCTGCTTTTCTTCAGCAGGGTCAGAGAAGATGGTTTAAATTGATGGGAAGATTTATGGAGTCATATACAGGACCATTCTGGTAGAAAACCTGTTGGAATCTGTAACAGACCTAACACTGGCGGAGATTTATTTTCCAACAAGACAATGATCCAAAACATAAAGCAAAAGCTACAGTGAAATGGTTCACAAATAAATATATCCAGGTGTTAGAATGGCAGAAAAGAAGAAAGACCAGACCTGAATCCAATGGAGAATCTGTGAGAAGACCCGGAAACTGCTGTTCACAAACTATCTCCATCCAGCCTCACCAAGCTCTACTATACCTGTTTTGCATGGAAGAATGGGCAAAAATGTCAACTCTCGATGTACAAACCTGATAGAGATACCCGATCAACTTGACTTTGAAGATGGGCCTCTTTGTGCTTTAAAACATGAGTGATCAAACTGCAGATTGCCTGAGTGCAGAATTGTGTCAAATTATTTTCAGAAAACTGAGCAAAAGTCCAGGTGCCTACAATGTTGGACCAGTCGACAAAAAATGTGCACAAACATGCACTTCGGTCTTTACCTGCTGAAAGACCTGATTGCCTGTATAACAGAGGCTGCTTTAAGTTTTTTTTTGTCATTGTTGAATCTCTGGGTTTTAACTGGTTGCTTTTTGGTTTAAATCTAACCAATCAGCTAAACTCCAAACTTTCAAACACACCAATCTGTGCAGCTATGATGCTGCTTTTTATGGGGTATAAAAAAACCACTGACCATGGGCCGGTGCAGACTGACAGACTTGCCATTAGGGAATCCTCTAACCCTCTGCATGCCCACTCCCACCCAGCTTTCAAAGGTTGAGTTGTCTGTCTATTTGCGGGAGCGTGCTGTCGGACTTAGAGTAAGTCTGCGTTGATAACAATAAATAAAGTGCACGTTACAAGTGGTCTCTGGGTGCTCGCAGCTGTAGTTGGTGGAGTAGCATGTTATCAATTCAATTCAGTTTATTTATATAGCGCCAAATTCACAACACATGTCATCTCAAGGCACTTTACAGTTCAACCAGATCATACAGTCAAATTGATACAAAATTTTCTATCTAAGGAAACCAGTTGATTGCATTGACTCATTGACTCAAATACAATCCCTCACACTAAGCATGCTTGTAGCGACAGTGGAGAGGAAAAACTCCCTTTTAACAGGAAGAAACCTCCAGCAGAACCAGGCTCAGTGTGAGCAGCCATCTGCTGAGGCCGACTGGGGTTCAAGGAGACAGAAGCAGAGATACAAAAAGCAGCTGTAAAAGGCGGCCCCATTCAAGAAACACACAGCCAGGCAGACGAGCTCCGAGCCAGCTCCCATGCCAGAGGAGGAAGAGAGCACATCCACTCAGTCACGGTCAGAGAAACAGGACCACACTGGAAAACAGGCCGAACTCCAGCATCTATCACATTAGTTGCTAAAAAAATAAATCCCCCTTAAAGGGTTGATAAAGTTTATCTTGGCTCCATATAATTGTACTATTCATGTGCTTATTTATTCCAGTGATTAAGTTTTGTATCTCACTACCACCTTATTTTCACCATCTTCTCTGCTTAAGGGAAAGGATGCTTTCTGAAAAGCTTTTATAAAGATAACATTCTATTAGAAAAATCATATAATATTTTTACTAAAATGACCCCACTTAAAACTACTTTTAGTCCTAGTATAATGTGATCATTGTCGCTGAAGCTGATCAACCTATAGCTCCAGTAAAGCACTGAAACTGGTTTGGTAAAAATGGCATCTGCCTACCTCTTTTATTTCAATATTTGCTGCAGCTGTTGGTAAAATAGCTAAACAGTCTCAGAGTATAGAAGCAACACATTCCTGTGGCTTAGTTGTATTGAAACTGAAAAATATAGCCTTTATATTAATTTACTCCTAATGGCAATATCGGCATTCCTGAACGTTTGCCGTTAGCCCAAAGTCTGTCTCTTATAAAAAACAAGTTTCTTTTCCAAATGATCTTTCCATAAATCTTTTGATTTAAAGTTTTAATGATTGGGCCTTGACATTAAAGGTGTTACAAAGTTGATTAAATAAAGCCAGCATAAATGTGATTGAGAAATTCACAAATCAACATGAATAACATTTGAAATCTGCTGTGGGGCAATAGCAGTTTCCTGTAAACGTTCAGTCTTGCATCTGTCCACTAGTGTTTTCCTGCTTGTTAAGCACCTGTGTCTTGAGCCCTTGAAATATTCAGGACAACATGCCCACCAGGTGTGCACAGGCTGTGTGTTGCCTTGTTCACACATTGGTAATAGGAAGAGGTTAAAACACTATATTTTATCAGCAGCAATCCAGACGCTTTAGGAGAAGCTTAGAAAGAGAAAGATTAAGGAGTGGGGCAAACAAAAAATAAGACAAAAAGAGAAGACTTGGAAAAGTAGAAGAAAAGTCAAATAAGTAGATATGCATGAGGATTGATTGTAAGGGAAAGAAAGTAAAAAAGTCAGAGTTAAATACTTCCTTTTCTTAAAAAAAAACTTCTACATCACAGTTGTTTATAGCAGGACTCGTTGCAACACGTTTACCACCACTTGCTTGCTCAGCTTTTCCTTCAAAAACTGTTATAATTTCTTCTTTTTTATATATTTTTAATATTAAGTAGTTTTGTTTTTTATATCTTTCTCCCATTTCTAACCATTCAGGTCATTATCCTGACCAGGGCCAACAAGCTTTGGTATGGAGACCAAATACAGAAAGGGAGCAACTAGTTAAGAAAGTCCAGGGGATTATCTAAAGAAGTAAATCACAGACACTATTGTGTGCTACTGTAATACAAGACAGGTGCATTAATGAGTAGATGAGATAGGTTGTGAGGGGGGTGAGAAAAAGTGGAAAAAAGTAACTTGATATGTCATCAAACACTCATGCTGAGCCCTACATGTTTGTGATTTTGGGGTTCAGGGTATTTGGATGTTTCTTTAGTCTGTTCCTGGGCCTCTGCAGGGTTTGGGTTTATAGAAGCCAGCGTTTTCTTGGTAAGGTGCTGAGTATGCATGATGTTGTTAAACTTGCATTTGTGGACAAGTAACAGTCATATTGATAAACACACAAGTTAACCGGCTTCCCTTTAGAACTTTGCATTGACTTCCATTTATTTTACATTGACCTTAACCAGACCCTCCCCCCTAACTTATTTCTAGCCTAAACTCAGTTCACACCCTAGCCATAAACGCAAGCCCCAACCCAAAAAGATAACAGTATTTTTTATTCTTTTGAGACAATAAATATAAGAAACTACAACTTTGCTTTCTTTGTTTAAAAAAACAACAAAAAAACACTGAACTACCTTATGTTATGTTTAATGTAAGAGAGCTGAAAACAACACAACAAATTATAATACATAAAAACAGATTATTAATCTAATTATCTTGTTTAATTTTCTTTTACTTTGCTCCATTTCCAGGTGGTCACGTCCCTCACAGATAAATGGCGTTTTGAAGTCCTACTCCGTCTTTCTGTCACAAGATGGTTCTGAGCCCATGCTTGCTTTTAACAGCTCAGAACTTACTGAAGAGCACACACTTCGCAGCCTAACTCCAGGAACATCCTACTCCGTCACCGTGGCTGTGGGTCATTCTCAGAATTTGTAGTTTTTAACTTATATTTTCATAGTTGTATATCCATATGTGTGTGTTTGTGTTTGCTTAATAGGCCTGCACAGGAGGTGGGTGCACCAAAAGCCCCCCAAGCCAAATTCAGACAGAGGAGAGTACCCCAGAAAACGTTCCTGCACCGCTGGTCATCCCCCTGTCCCCACATTCACTGAACGTTAGCTGGACCCCTCCTGAGACTCCTAATGGTGAGAAGACGTACAAACAGCCAAAACTAAAACATATAACTATTGGCTGATTAAGCAGAGCTCTCACAAAAGTTAATCAGTATTTTTTTAAATGTATCGCTGTTACTCGGGCACCTTAAAGAAGAAGTGGAAGACTAAAAACTATGCTTAAAGAACAGGAATCCTGTGTGAGGAATTACATGGAATAAAGAAAAAAAATGGTAGACATAAAATAAAATTAATATTGGGAGAGGCTTTCCCTTGTTTCTGAGAAATCTCAAGTTGAAAAAAGGCAGAAAAAAACAGTTTAATAAAACTGTTTGAATTTAGTATAAAATGGGAGTCGGATGAAGAGGAGAGAGCGTCACCAGGATCCTTTAAGTGGATGAAAAGTGCTCCCTTTTGACTGAAAAGAGAACTGCAGGCTAGAGGCCCATATATTGCACTGTCCGGCATCCTCATTCTTAATCCTATAAATCTTGTTAAATTCAGCTAATGTTTTTCAAAATAATAAAAAGAGCTACAATAAAATGTCAATAGGGTTATACTAAGGCTTATTTCATAGCTTTTCATGACCATATTTCTTTTTCAGTTTGAACTTGTATGTTGCCGTTTCTGTATTCAAAGTTGTGTAAGGAAAAGAAAAAAAGCCATGAACTGTTAGTCAACTCTAGATGAAGACGACCTTCAGTCAAATAGATCAGTAGGTGATAATCATTTTATAACTGTTTGCTAGAGTAAGGAGAAAAGGTGGAATAAAGTTTGATTCTTAAAGCAAAATTACCTTTTCTGTGTCTGCATAAATTTCAGATGAGATTCCTGATTCACAACAGTTACTAAATGTTGAAGTCAACACTAATAACAATATAATAAATTCCAATGGACTTTATTAACAATAGCATTTCAGTAAATCTGATTAATAGTTAAAAACCATCTAAGCATTTAACCATCTTTTCCGTCCCATTTAACAGACTAAACATAAAGTTTGTGAAGGTGCTACAAATTATCAAATGTTAATGTCATGCTTGCTGGGCAATTCAGTAATGTGTATGTGATGTGAGCCCTGTGTGTTTTATACCCAATCCCATATTAGGGCGTTTTGCGTCATAAACCCTGTGATGTGTGTGCATATTAACCAGGATAAATTGTCTTAAAGCTTCTCTGATCTGATGACAAAAATAAAAAAAAATGCAAAAATGATTACCGTATTATCCTATTCTTAAAAAGCTGTGTGCTTTTCCTTCTTAAAAAAGGGGAAAAAATGCTTAGATCTCTTTCCCAATATTTTTTTATTAAATCAACGGCATAATGATGGGTTACAGAGTGATATCCTGTGTTATTTTCTCGCGGTCTTCCCCCTCCTTTCTCCGCAATTCCGCAGGGATTTGTGGGGGATAATCCTCTCGGGGATTAGGTCGGGGCAACACGCAGACAAAGAGGGGAAATAAGCCTGTTATGCATTCGCTGCTTCATTTCCCAACCTGTCTTTATTACAGCCTATACTGATATGAGCTTATTCACGCACATAAGCACATACAGTGCTCCACACACATTCACAGACACACTCACATGCATGTGATTGGCCACATTAAGAGCTTCCAGATAACTTGCATCCGTAGGGTTTTTGTGTCTTCATTTTAGTGATAGGTGTGTATATCTGTATTGAGCAATAATAAAACCCACACCTGATTAAAGTAGAATAGACCCTTAGTTCTTAGCACTGATCTTTTGAGCCTTCTGTATGCATTTTTATTAAGGAAAAGCACATTTGGTACCGTACTGTTTCATTTTTTTATTAGGTGGATGTAATGTCACATAATTATTATGTGTTTGAGGTATGGCTTGTTATTAAATGTGCAGATCTTTGGCTGCCTGCATAGTCTATCGATGTGTGTCTGTGAATGTGTTTGCATCTTCACTCCTATTGGTTCATTTTAGTTTGTGCCTTTTCATTTTTTTGCCACTGTCCTTCTATGGGCCTTCATTCTGTGTAATGCCTTTGGTTACAATTGTCATTTCAGTACTGTTTTCATCTGTAGGACACTGACTGGCAGGCCTGGAGCCTCAAAGTCAGTTTTCATTTGCATATACAGTGAAACAGAAATCATTGCAACATTGGAAAGCCAAGCTTTGAGCTTAATTCTTGCAGCATGGATATACAGTATGGTAAAGGGCCTGTACCAATGAGTGGAACTAGAAAACATCAGTGGAAGTCTGTTGTTAAGAGATTAAATTATGTTTAAGTTTTGTTATACAGAGATATATTTGTAAAATAAAAATTTAGTTACATTTTAATTAAGTGGAATAATTTTGCTTCAAATTTTGATTGTGAAGTGTTAAAAGTTTTCTTCTATGAAGTGGCAGACAATGGAGGTAGTACTGTACTTAAAGAAAGTTTTCCAACTACCAAACAATAACAGTTATTAGCTTCTCTGGAACCGCTGTAGGATGTTTTTTAAACCAAATGGATACCGAAAACCTCAAATTTAGCAGATCACTGTGGCTTTCCTCCTGGCTGTTAAAACATGGAGCAGATTTGTATCTTAGAACGGCTACTGAAGATCTTTGCTGCTGATATTCGTTCGGTAAATAAGTAAATGGGCTTACACCTTAGTCTTCCTAGAAATTTCATAAAAGTGTTGCCGTTGTTTTCTGTTTTAAAGATGCTATCAAAGACTGTCTGGTTCTTATATTCCCAAAAGAGCAGTCTACATTCTTAAGATGGTTCTAACTCTCCGCTATGCTTCCCCCTTGTCTCTGGTACTGTTTTTGTCTTCATGAAGAAGACCTCAGGATGCTTTCATTTGGAGCAGGCTTTCAATTTTGGCCATCTTATGGCCTTAAGTTTACTTTTTGCAGAGGATGTGATTCTGTTATTATCTTTATGTTATAACATTTAATATAGACTGTACCTCTCGCGAGTTAGGAAGTAAATCACAAGTATTAAAATAAATAGGAAGAGAGTTAACTACTCAAAGCAAAACTTCATGGTTTGTAACCAGAAAATAGTTGACTGTTCGATCTGGTTTTAGGCTAAATTTGTCGATGCTAGATACAAGATAAGCTTTTGGAAAGGCATATTAAGGCTTTGTTTGAAGTAGGCCTTGTCGCTATTGTCACAATGACAGCGCAATTGTCATTGTCAAGAAGTGGCTGACAAAGTAAAATTTCATTAATTAGTCTGTCTATGCTCCCAATCTTCCCCTTCAGCTACAGTATAAGATATGGATCTTCATCAAAAGATCGTGATCCTGGGCAGAAGAGGCCATCATTTGCTTCTTGCACAGAGCTCAGAGTAGAGCCACCGATCCTGGCTAAAGAACGTAGTCAGCTAAGATATTTCAGCCAATTGAAAAACATTTCTCCTGGGCCTCTCCCATTTGAGGTTTTCCGTGCACACCCATTGGGATGAAACCTTCAACATCCCGGAGAGACTGTTTTGCTTCTGACCTTGGGAAAACATTAGTTTGAAGATGGATTGTGTCTTGGTTCTCCCCTTTAATAAGTTACCCCATAGATGGATAGATGGATGGACTGACTTTGTTGGATGGATGCATTTTATTTTCCTAATACATTTTATGATAAGATGTTTTCTTTTCACAGGTGTTATAACAAGCTACGGTCTCTGGATGGATGGAGTTCTAGTTTTTAACTCCAGTTCCTCACAGGAGTTCTTCGTAGTGGAAGGACTTTCTCCTTGGAGCCGTCATGTTATTAGACTGCAGGCATGCACAGCACAGGGCTGTGGCAAAGGACCAATGGTCAGTGAAACTTTTTGCTTCCAAGCTTTTATAGGGCCTAGAATTAAAAAAACATTCTTATTCTGTAAGGAGCTGTAATAAGGATACGACTTTGCAAGGTCTCTTTTTTTAAATTCTTTGAAGTGCTAAGGATTTTTTTCTTTACAAGGCTTACAGAGTTCATTAAAGTCCAGTTCTACAATATTCAATACAGCTCTCGAACCAGCACTTGAGATTTAGAGCAGTGAATGCTCCATAAAATCCTTTACTTGCTTAATAATCTTCCATCAGAGGGTGAAACTAAACTGCTAATACAGCAAAGCAGATTTTCAGAGAGCACAATACTGCTGAAAGAAAAGAAAAACATAGATACACCATGAAGGAATCCACTTAGACATCTACAGTGATTGTGTGTGCCAGTGTGTCACTGTGCCTCATAAAGGTGATCGATTCTCTCAGCTCAATAACGAGGGTTGCGTGGTGACTGTGACATTTGGTGGGAAATGCCACTCCATTCTCAACAACGTGTCTGACGACAGGCCAAATTCTAAGGCATGTTTCCAATACGGGCGCCACGATTTGTCAAACACCAGAAGAAATGGCTGACACTGCAGAAGAGAAGAATAGGAGGATGGGAAGAGATAATTTAGAGGAGAAAAAAAAGCTACAAGAGTATGACAAGAAGATGAGGATTAAGGTGTTGAGAATAAGATTTAAATGAGAATGATGGGAGTGGAGAAAGAAGTGTGAAAGATATAAAAGTAAGGGCTGAGTTAATGTATGACTGTCTTTACCAGAGAATTTATGTTAGAACATCACATATCAACAAAATGATAAGCATGCACCAATGTAAGTGACCTGTATATGTGTTTTTTTTTTTCTTTCTCTTTAACTCAGGTGGAGGCACATACTTTGGAGATGGCCCCAGAAGGCCCTATACTTCTGGAGTTGACCAATCAGAGTTCTAGATCTCTCCGAGCCCGCTGGACTTCCCCTCCTAGACCAAATGGAAAAATCCACTACAAACTGTACTACAAAAGCAAAGGTTAAACATTTTTTTTTTTTTTTTTTTTTTTTTTTTTTTTTTTTACTCATCTCACAGAAAAGTACAGCATGTGTTAGTCTAAGGAGTCTTTTGAATATTTTATAATCTCCCAGCAATATCAGATTTAAAAAATAGATATATAATTTTTTTAGTTTTTTTATTGTTACTCTTGTACTTCAAAACACTGTGCACTGTTTCACAAAAACATTTCTGCAGGATTTTTATTGATATACTTTACTGCCACACGGATAAGAAGTAATTTTGAACTTTGTGTTAATAGCATAAAGGATGTCTTTTCAAATTCTACAAAGACATTTTTATGTTTGGTATAAACGTCATTTCTATCCAAGGCATCTTCTTCCACATATTTGCTGTTCCGCTAACATGGCTTACAGCAAACTGCACATTTTTTACAAGCTTTGTTTTTTAACATGAGCTTCCTTTTTTCCCACCTTTCCATAAATTGCTTATTTTTTAGAGTTTAAACTTAATGTTTAGTCATCTTACAGATTTAAACTCAGCATCTCTGGATTTCTCTGCAGCTATTCTAGAGTTACTATGGGCCTCTTTGCTTCTCTAAATGATTTTTTTTCTGGCCTTTCAGTTGTTGTTGCTAATATTTTATAGGTTTTCCAAATGGGCCTCATTCTGTTTCCAAATGATGTATTTAATGGTGCTCTGCAGTGTGATATTTTATATGCTAACCCTTCTTTACTTCTCTGAAAATGTATCCCTGACTGGTCTGGTTTATTCATAGGTCCTCATGATTCTTTTAATCTTTGCATTCCTCAACAAACACCTTAAGTCTGCACAGAGTAGTTATATGTATACTGCAACAAAATTACACACAGGAGGAATCTATTGATTGTATGAAATATTAATACACTTGGTTGCATAGATTTCATTTATTGGTTATGTATGAACACATATGCATGTTATCTTTTAAGATCCTGTTTATTGACTCTTTACAATTTTTTCATCATAATCGCATTACTTTTTTGCTGTGTCTCTTGAATATATTTTAATATACATTGAGGTGTGTAGTGAAAGCGTGACAAAGTTTGAAAAACAACAAGGTGTTTGAAATCTTTGTTGCGGTACTGTATATGTGACCCTTACAATGATAACAGCTGAGATGCATTTTCCTGCAGCTATATAGAACTACATCACTTGCTGATTTCCTGTGAGAGCACTGTTATATCCAGTTTCAAAAGCACTCAGTACTTTTGTTATACAGTAGTTTTTCAAAGATTAGCACATCAGACAGGCTGAAATGTACACACAAATACACCCAGTGATTCCCAACCAGCAAAGGAGACTTATAAAGTAACACCGAATAGAACAGTGTAAGAAGAAGTAATCAAAACAGACTAGTGTCAAAGTATTTTGAAGTATTTTGATATAGATTGTGACTTTAGGTCAAACAAGATCTAGGAACGAAGAACAAAAGCCTGGCAGGTAAAAGCAACAAAGTATCGTGCAATCATTTTAATACTACAAATATTTTCATGACATAAGAAAGGATAGAGTGATTGCATTTAAAGTATGATATAATAGAAATGCAAAATTCATAGTGATAAATAAACAAACATTGGACACTGAAAGAATAGACTGAAAGATTTCAAAGATATATCTTGCATCTCTGACAATGAAAGAAAGTATCTTTGATCAGTGCCTCTCAGAAAAAGCAGCGTTAGTAAATGGAGAAAAGCATAAAAATGTTTGGAAATAAAAGAGGTATGATTTGTTTCATTGCTGCATTTTTAAAGTAAACTTCCTTCACTGGATCAGGTAGAGCTGAACATTGAACATTGTGTGTGCCATCTCCGACATAGTAATGAGACTCATAGTTTTATTTTATATTTATCTAACGATCTCTAAATAATCTCTTTCTTGATCACTTTCAAAGATTGTGTATAGCTCCCATTCTCTCCCTGTTTACCCGAGGGATGTTTTCTGATGAGGCTGTGCATTTTTAGACAGAGGTTTCCCTTCATAAGATTTAAAGACCTCTCTTTCTGTGTTTTTTTTATTTGTTAGATGGTCATGGTGTGTTGGACGGGGGATCAGCAGCAGGCATTTGGTTGTCTGTATCTGACCTAGAGCCCTACAAAAACTACAGCTTCTGGATCAGAGGATGTAACACACAGGGTTGTGTTGAGAGCCTGCCACTCAACCTCACTACACCTCCAGCAGGTAGACACTCTCAGGGAAAGAACTTTGACATCTTTATAAGGGATTCTATTAAGTGTAGATGGCAGTATCAGCACTTTATAGTTGCCCAGTTGATTTTATTTTATTTTTTCTAATAAACTGAGTGAAAATAAAGGAAATATAGAAACAGAAAAAGTCAATTAACATGACCAACATAAGATTAATGTTATTAAAGTTCTTTTACTTCAAAATCTCAGAACCGTCAAAATGACCTGTGCCTTGAGAGTTCTAGTGCCTACACGCCTGAGGTATATGGAGGGGCAAAAAGGAAAAAAATAACATGAATAAATATAGAATTAAATTAATAAAAATGCCAATGGCCTATGAAATAAATATACCTGTAAATGACCATTAAATAACTAAATGTACCATTTAAACCACAGATATGGGTGTGTGCATGTGTGTTTACACTCGGTGTGAATGCAGCATCAGATGTAGAAATCATAACTACATCTCAAAAGGTTATTTTACGACTATGTATCTCTGATTAGACTGAGATCAAATCTAAAGAGTTGCTAAAAAGTTTTGAGATACTTAATCTTAAAAAATAAGACACCTTATTATTGGGATAATGGCCATTATAAAAACACAGAAAGCATAAAAAAACTACACAAACTGATGCATGTTTGTTTTGACGGTCTAAATTAGATGCTAAATAAGTAGCAGTACACAAACCTTTAAATACAAAGTTTCCAGTTCTGCTGAACACATTGAATTCTTCCTTTTTCCTCCCATGTCTTCTGAAACAACAAAAGACAGACTTAAGAAAGTTCTGCTGTTCAAGTTCAAAACAAAGACATAAGGAAGTATAAATTTTAAATACAAGACGTTTCCTCTCTTTCCATCTCTCTTTCTACCTCTGTGCCTCTGGCATCTCTTTAGACTTCTTTAAGGCAAACTGTCTTGATGCGTCCTTGTTTCATGAAAGAACAGAGAAAAGATAGCCAAGCAAGAGACAGAGGAGCAGAGCAGGAGGAGAGCAGAGAGAAAGAAGTGAACATAAAAGTGCATAGTTTAAAACGATTAGTGACACCTCTGATATTGTACCTGCTAACACAGCATGAGAAAGACACAGGCTCAACAGTATAGGTGTGTGCGTGTCTCTTTGGGACTTTGCTCTTATGTGTGCATATATATATGTGTGTGTGCATTTGTAAGAAGACATGAAACATTCCTTGTCATGAATAAAGGTTGGACACTGAGGGAAATGAACCTTCATCTGCATGTGGATCCCTCTGAAAGAGATAACGAGAACATAAAGGAGTACTCTGAAAATATCAAATATTACTTCAGCTGTAAAAACATGTTACAGAGAACAGCCTGAATAAAAATGAAGTACATTTAACAGCATTTGGCTTGTAAAACCACAGTAATTCCTCATCTACAGGCAAGAAGTCAGCTGTAGGCACAAATTATGTCTGAAATCTGATTTCTTGAAAGAGAAAGATAAATTGGTGGGTCTCAATAAAGGGGAACTGGCATTGGTTTTAGTTATCTAAAAATTTTTGAAATGCTTGCACTAAAGCAACCTGTAGTTGAAAACCTGCTGTCTTAAAAGGGTCATAAAATGCAAAACCGAGTTTACACCGTCATAGATGAATAACTATAGTTCAGTGGATGAAATGGACGTACAGAGAAGTTTAAACCCCATCGACACCTCCTTTCTTTGCAAATCTTATAATTCTAATTTCCACCATAAAACAGGCAAATCCAAACAAAGCCTCAAGTTGACATATACACGGGGGTGTTGCCTTATTTGGTTCTAGCCTGTTTTTTTTGCCACATGGGTGGGGAGGGCGGTTGTTTGGGGTATGAACTGTCGACTGTTGGGCCGCTGACTGGACCATACCTTAGCCATGAGCCTTGAGCCACCCGTCCTCAGCCAGAGGAGGGGGGCTGGGGGCCGGTAAGGCAGGCGGGGGGAAGCATGGGGCCGCCGGTGTCCAGGCTACCGTCACCAGTTCAGCTGCTTTGTCCCCAGCTGGCTCCCTGCCCCTGTTCGCCAGGGTTCCCGGGACCAGCTCCGGAGCTGATGGCTCGGTTCAAATGCCCGCTGCGTTTCGCCTACGTGCTGCACTGTAGTCGACCAAAATCCCGGATGATTTTGAAATTCCCCCTGGACATTTTCTTAGGTATGAAAAGTAGGACATGTCCAGGAAAAAAGAGGACATCTGATCACCCTACCAGATCAACAAATTCAATGTTTCACTGAGTGAGTGCTTGTTGCTATGATGCGTCTTTGCTCGGCAGCTTTGCTTGTTGTAAACCAACCAATCAGCTCACAGCTAAATATTCATGAGCATACCTTAAAAGGAAGAAAATCTGTCGTTTCATTCTAGGGCTTTTCATTCTAGGCAGTTGGAGCCACCCTCACTACAGCAGACTGCACACACACCACCACTCAGCTTTAGTTCAGGTGTTATGTTAAAAGAGAAAAAACTAAAATGTGCAGAGGGAGTACTACGATACCTGTTCTGGAGCCTCTAAAGTCCTAAAACTCATTCCAAAGGAATTTTTTAAGCAGCATTATCATGATGCATACACAATTAGTACCAAACAACAAACTCCAACAATCCAGGACAATCATGGGTAGGTCATTGATTTGTTTATCCGTCGAGAGTGGTTGGCCTCCATGTGCATAAAAAAAATAAGCACTCTAACTGCAGATTGCTGTAGTGCAAGCCACCAGAATTGACAAAAATTCTTAGATAAGCATCCAAATCCATGCAAACATGAAATGATCATTGATATTGTTTAACTGCTGCAACGGCTGAGCTTCTAGCATTGCATTGTAGAATCTATTTCTGTAATCTGGCTTTAGCAGTAAGAGATCTTCAGCAATCAGTCTTGTTGTAGCTAGAGAGTCATGTTTGATTGAAGGGTCACTTTAGGCAAAAGAGGACCAGCTCTCATTCCAAAGCCAACAGTCTCGTCAGACTAGTTGTCCTTATTCTGTTTTTTTTTCAACCTTTCCTTTCTTCATATGTAAACAAAAATCAGTTTTCACTTATTAAAAATTTTGTTTTTTTTAGCCCCAGATGGATTGTCACCTCCGACTTTAGTCGATGCATCCAGCACCAGTCTAAATGTATCGTGGTCTGCACCTGTCAAGTCTAACGCCCCGGGACCTCTCCTGTACAGTTTGCAAATGAGAACATCTCCACAGAACTCTATCATAAGGTAAAACAAAACATAAAATTCACCGAAATATTTATGTTTTACAGTCATATGAAAAAAGTTTGGGCACCCCTATTAATTTTAATTATTTTTATTTCTAAACAATTGTTTGCAACAACTATTTAAGTTTGATATATCTAATAAACGATGAGCACAGTAATATTTCAGTATTGCATTGAGGTTTATTGTACTAACAGAAAATGTGCAGTAAGCATTAAAACAAAATTTGACAGGTGCAAAAATATGGGAACCTCACCAAAAAAGCAAAAAAGAGACATTAATATTTAGTCCTCCTTTTGCAGAAACAACAACCTCTAGTCGCTTCCTGTAGCTTTTAATGAGTTCCTGAATCCTGGATGAAGGGATTTTTGACCATTCCTCTTTACAAAACAATTCCAGTTTGATGGTCGCCAAGCATGGACAGCATTCTTCAAATCATCCCACAGATGTTCAATGATATTCAGTTCTGGGGATTGGGATGGCCATTCCAAACATTGTAATTGTTCCTCTGCATGAATGCCTGAGTAGATTTGGAGCGGTGTTTTGGATCGTTGTCTTGCTGAAATATTTAGGCCGGGCGTAATTTCAACTTTGTAACTGAATATTATACTCAAGAATCTGCTAATATTGAGAGGAATCCATGTGAACCTCGACTTTAACAAGTTTCCCAGTGCCAGCATTGGCAACGCAGCCCCAAAGCATGATGGAACCTCCACCAAATTTTGGTTTTTCAAGTGTTTTTCTTGAAACGCTGTGTTTTTTGGCCACCAGGCATAATGCCTTTTTTAATGACCAAACAACTCAATCACTGTTTCACCAGTCCACATGACCTTATTCCGAATATGAAGCTGGCTTGTCCATATGTGCTTTTGCATACCTCAAGTGATTCTGTTTGTAGCGTGCTTGCAGAAAATGCTTCTGTCGCATCACTCTCCCATACAGCTTCTCCTTGTGCAGTGCGCTGAGTTGTTGAACGATGCACAGTGACATCATCTGCACCAAGATGATTCTGCAGGTCTTTGGAGGTGGTCTGTGGGTTGTCTTTGACCATTCTCACCATTCTTCTCCTCTGCATCTCTGATATTTTTCTTGGCCTGCCACTTTTGGGCTTAACAAGAACTGTCCCTGTGTTCTTCCATTTCCTTACTGTGTTCCTCACAGTGGAAACTGACAGTTTAAATCTCTGAGACAACTTTTGTATCCTTCCCCTGAACGACTATGTTGAACAATCTTTGTTTTCAGATCATTTGAGAGTTGTTTTGAGATGCCAATGATGAATCTTCAGAGGAGATTCAAACAGGAGAACAACTTGCAACTGGCCACCTTAAATACATTTACTCATGATTGGATACACCTAGCTATGAAGTTCAAATCTTAATGAAGTTACCAAACCAATTTTGTGTTTCAGTAAGTCAGTGAAAAGTAGTTAAGGGCATTTAAATCAATAAAATGAAAAGGTCACCCAAATTTTTGCACCTGTCAAGTTTTGTTTTAATGCATATTGCGCATTTTTTGTTAGTACAATAAACCTCAATTCAGTACTGAAATATTACTGTGTCCATCAGTTATTAGATATATCAAACTGAAATAGCTGTTGCAAACACCCAAACTTTTTGATATGACTGTATTTTAATCAGTTATTAAATAGATATAGACACCATTAGCAGGAATAGTACATTCTTAGTATTTTTTCTAAATGGCTAAATTCATATTTTAATTAAGTAGAGCTGAGAAACATTTGACCTCTAAATGGCTCTGTTAATTGCGTGCGAGACGTTCCCTCTTGGGAGCTGGTACAGGGTTGTGCATGTGTAAATTCTTTTTTAAGTGTAGAGGGTGGGTCTTTTATAAAAACACGAAAATCCTCCACAATACCTTTAACTCACATATAGATGCTTGGTTTGAACTTCAGAAAGTCAACTTTGCCACATCTTGGTGTCTAAATGCATTAAATCTTAGCTTTGTGATTGGATATCAATATATCAAAGAAGTGGTATACAATATTAATGAGCTGGCATCTGACTAGTTTTTGTCATACTAGCTACTCAACTCTAAGTTACAAGTAGGCCAGAACACACAACTCTTATGTTTTTTTTAAAGATATAAATACATACAGATGCACGTACACAAAATCTGTAAATTAAGCACCAAAGCAGAACATGTCATGTGTGAATATAACAGACTATAGAAACTAAAACTAAGAGCTAAAAAAACAAAAGAAATAATGACAGGCATTGAAGGAAGAAGAGTGAGGTTGAGAAATTGGGACAGAATAAAGAGGGAGAAGGTGTGAATCTGATATGTATTCATTACATGCTTCCTGACAACAAATTGCAATTTAATCCAAGAAGAGGAGGCTCTCATTCTGTGGTAATAAATAAATGACTAGCTACATGTATTATATATCAGACAGTCATGCCCTCCTCCTCCTCCTCTGCTATGGAAATCTCATTGTTACCTGATTTATTCATTCATTCATTTCCTCCATCCATCTGATGGTAAATGGTCAATGGTGTCTCATTTATGACAGTTTTCTTTTACTTTGTCCTACATTCCTTTGTGTGGCTCTACTATATGAGATCAGGTATTAAACATTTTGCATTGCTAGATTTCTTAACCTGAACTGTGTGAAGTGGTCATTAAAAACAAAACAGTTTCTTTCTAATAGCGTACAAAATATTAAAATTGTTTAAGAAGGTGCTAAACTGAATTATATAGAAGAAATTTAACTAATAGTCATAACCATTTGCTCAATCTTAATTTTTTTCAAATAAGACATAAACTTGAATGCCAATTATCAGTAGGATTTATTTAAAATGTTGTGCTTGAAGGACTACTTATGCAGAAACCTACAATGTCAGTAGACTTTTTGTACTCATGAACATTACATTTTTTTAACTCTTTCGTGCAATTTTTTAAGAAAAAATAAATTAAGAAATAATGTAAACATTGATGTAATTCTACTGGTTAAAAGGCTGCTTTTTTGAAGCTTCTCTCTTTAACATCTTTTATGTTTATTAAATTAAAAAAACATGTTGATAAAAATTTTGTTTTTATTCCCCCCAATCCTTTTTTTTAGGCTTCTGGAAAATGAAACAGAAACTCGCTCCTATAATGTTGAGGGTTTGTCACCATTCACCAACTACCTGTTCCGAGTGGTGGTTTCACATTCCCATGGACAGACGGTGGGGCCTTGGGCAACCCTATGTACAGCTGAGGATCGTAAGTACTCTTAGATGCATTTGTAAGTCTAAAATGATCTACAGTTATTTCCCAAAGAGGGATGGAAATTTAGATCCAGCTGAAGTGCAAAGAAATGATGCAAAATCTGATATTTTAAAAAAGGGGGAAAAAAGCATTTAGTAGATGCAGATTGTATGGGGGACAAACACAATGCTGTTCCTTTGGTCATCTTTCAGTAGTGGTAAGGCAGATTAGGTATTTTGGTTTAATTCATACATATAACATAAATCCTAAGAAATGTGAAAATAGACTCAACAATTGTTTGAAAGCACACTTATTTTGTTTTGTTGATGTGCTGGATCTTTAAAATTTACTTAATTTTGATGTATGGTGATTTTGATCAAAACTTGGGTAGTTTGAGCTCCTCAGTGATAAAACGAGTCTTCAAGTCAAAGGGGAACTAACGCCCCTGTCACACCTTGACGATTTAGACCAGCATATGCCTGACGTAGCAAAAATCTGGCAAAAACGCTGGCATAGGTTGGGTAAGTTATGGGTACATTTTGTATTAGTCATTAGCACGCTGAAGCACGCTGGTACACCTCGACATAAGGCGAGTATGTCGAGAAATTTTGAGCATACCTTTTTTTGCAAATCTTTTTGCTCTCTTTTCCTTTTTTGTCTTTTTACCTAATCTTTTTTTTTTTGTGGGCAGGAAACAGCAGCTAGGTTAATACCGCAATCAAATAAATCTTTTTATACAGGCCAGGTGCCTCCGAGAGCATTGCTGCCCCCTCAGGACATTGGCTTGTGACATATCATGGGATTACGCTGCCGTACGTTAGGCATAAGTAAGGCTGTCGTTGGACATATGCTCTGGACTAACTATGAATACGCTATTTATATGCCCAAAATTAAAAAATACATAGAAAGTTCAGCACATGCAAGCATTTTAAAGATTCTGGGACTTCAGGCATATGCTGGCTAAATCAGCAAGATGTGACAGGGCCCTAAAGAGGTGAATGTGGAACAAAACTAAACACAGGGCGTAGGAAACTAAAGGGACTGACACTGTACAAAGATAATTGATACAGAGAAAACCTGAAACTGGAGAGACAGATAATAATAGTAAATACAGAAAAGAAATTACCAGACTAACCAAGACAAAACGGAAACTGCAAGTAAAACTAAGAAACTTAAAAGTAAGGATCCTAACGACAAAGTTCAAAGTCCAACATATGATTGGGTGATGACGAGGAGAGTTTGCTGAACCAAAACCGAAAATTGTTTTTAGGTCTCTTTGAATTCTTGTAGCTGGCTCTGTTTGCAGAAAGAAAATCTAAAAGAAAACGAGGTGCTGGAAACATGGGCTGGATTGGGTGAAACACTGATAGGGTTAGATTTGCATACTGTAAGGTGCATCTCTGTATGTGAGTGACCTAGACAGTGTCATTGTGGGCTAATTGCTGTAATAGAATCATATTAGCCACTGGAACAGCCTCCTCAGTGCAAAGTTATAAATTAATTAGCACCATGCTATTATCACATACATTATCATTAAGCAGCCGAGTTTTGCATACATTGATACATGCGTAGCTACACACAGAAATGCATACAAAGCATGTGCATGTTTTTTGCTTGTAGCTACGCATTTATATTAGCACAAGTAGGTTTTCTTACAGAGCAGTTCATGCACACTCCCACAGAGACACACACAATTGCAGACATTTAGGATGCATTAAATTACAGCTATGTGCTTTTCTCATCGTTATACGGAATTAGTTTCCCTCCAGCAAACATTAAGACACCCATGCACAGTTACACACCAACAAACAAATCTATATGCACACTAACTTTTAAGCATATAGTGTCTCAATCAGATATTTAAACATGCCACTGCTTGCTTCAGGGTTATAATACTAGCCTCACTGCTTGTCAGACTCAGCCAGTAGAATATGGTAGTTCTTCACAATACCAAGTCTCACATATACAATGGTGCAGTGCTTGTTAGGGGCCGTGAATAATTTTTTATGTTTTTTACCTTTCTGGGATTTAAGGCTAAAACCATTTCTCAGTCTTAAAGAACTAAAAGTACTAAATACGATGTATGGATGAATGGATTTATTATTGTGTTGGATCAATCCTGAAAGTGTACGTACACCCAAAAGTTGAGAATTGCGTATGCCGAATCCTGATTTATAAAACTCAACCTCATGGAAGTTGATTTTTGTACGTTACAGCTCTGTATCAACATTTTCATGTAAGGTTTCACCTCATATTCTGCTCTCTATATGGGCTTAGTCCTGGCTGCTGTATCTTAGCCTATATGGGTTATGGTCGTTACACCAATGGTGCAATTCTTCTAAATACAGCACAATTTTTTCAAGTGATGGTTGGAGGTCTATATTGGGGCCATGGAGAAACTCCAAGATTGTTTTGAATGCTCTGACTAGAATATGTTCAAAGGTGCAGCAACTTATGACAACAAAATAAATATAGATAAATATGCCATGACTGTAAGCCTACATCAACAAATGCATTGAAGACGTCAGCATCACTAAGAACATCACCACTGGGGCCAGCCAACGACCCTGGATGAATGGAGCGGTTCGGAAATTGCTACAAGCACGGAACTCAGCTTTCAAGTATGGTGACAGAAAGGCACTGAGGACAGCGCGTGCCAACTTAAACCGTGCCATTAGATCAGCAAAGCAAAACCAAGGCCAGAAGATCCAGGATCTCTTCCATGATTCCAGCAACTCCAGGAGGATGTGGCAAGGCATACCGGGAATCACACCCCCCCCCCCTCTCCCCCAGTAGATGCATCTAATGACTCTGACGTGCTAAATGAACTAAACCACTTCTTTGGAAGGTTTGAGGCTCTAAACCACACTCCAGTAGTGAAAGCCATTCCACATCCGGGAGAGGAGGCTCTTATCCTTTACATAGCTGAAGTGAGGAAAACTCTGAGGAGAGTCAACCCAAGGAAAGCCCCAGGGCCCGATAACATACCTGGGTGGGTGTATAAGGAGTGTCCAGATCAGCTGGCTGGTGTCATCACAGACATTTTCAACACCTCTATGGAACGATCGATAGTGCCAGCATGCTTGAAGTCTGCCAACATCATTCCAGTCCCCAAAAAAGCCTCAGGTCAACTCACTGAATGATTACGGGCCTGTCGCACTGACTCCCATCATTATGAAGTGCTTTAAACCAGTTATGAACCTTGGTCAATAATAACCACTAGTAAATGTTTACAATGTATAACTGCAGTTGGTGATTGATAATCCTTAACAAAACCACAAGACATATCTCTGTATAATCAAGCTATTACCTTAGGAAGTAATTTATCTCTAGCTTCTACAGAAAACAGACCACCGAAATAAGATAACCACAAAAAACCACAATTTATACATGCCTAAGTTTACCTTAAAAATAATTCCCTGTTACAAGCAATTATTCTGTTCAATAATACTAGAACACACTAATTAACTAAAAAAACACAAAACAATTGGAAAATCTACAGCAATTATAAATCTGGATAGCAGCAGTTCTTTTAACCTTTTAACAGTGTCCAACAATGAGAGAAACAATGTAAAATAGAGGGAAGGACAGCGTAATGATGTCTTAGCTGACTGACAATGTGGCAGTAACTGAGTTGTTTCTAACTTGGACCAACGCCAGCTGCAGAGAAAGAGACACTAATGGCAGGCTAGGGTTGATACCTATAGTTTGACATCAGAGCTGCAAGGCATGCTGGGAGCTGTAGTTACAGTTTATAGGTATATCAGCACAAAACACCTCAGAAATGTATTAGAAAATGGGCAACTTGAAATTTTATAAGCATATTCTTTCTATGTGCTCTATATATTTTAAGTATCTTAAACTGATTCTATTGACCTGGATTTATAATTAAGATGTTTTACTAGATAAGGCATTAAGGACTGTGATTAGTTAGTTTTATTGCATTTTGGAAAACTAAAAAGAAATATAAGATTTAAAAAAAATAGTGTAAAAATAAACATAAAAGCAGAAGAAGCAGAAGGAAGAAAAAAGTGGACTAATGACAGAACAGAGGGAAAGAGAGACCCTCGCTCCTTCCTTTCCTTTTTATCATTCCATTAAAGTTTTATATCCATCTTTTTAATGTAATTTGGTCCCTATGAATTCCTGTCGCTGCAGAACAGACAGACGGCTCCTGTGAACATAAACTCTAGCCGTGTTGGACAGCTCCCTTTCCTCTGTCTACTCCCATGTTCACACCAGCTAAGTGATCTAAGAGCCTGTGCGTGTGTACGTGTATAAATGTGCGCCTGTGCACACACTGGAGAAGAGGTGTATGTTTCTGTGTGCTATGAAGAATATGAATAAAGAGCATGAATAAAGCTCCACTTGAACAAAATTATCTTAGCAAAGGAGAATGTGTGTGTATGTGTGTAAAAACATTAAATAGCATTAAAAAAATGAAAGGAAAAAATCCCTCATCACCCAAACAGAACTGTAGCATGGTGAGATAGAGGAGCTGTTTAGATGAAAGAAGCTACAAAGATGAGGTTAGAGGTAATGACAGAACACAAAGAATTCAAGTTATTTAATTAATTGTTGGCTGCATTAATAAAATATTTTACTTTATATTTGCATTTTAGTTGGTTTAGTTTTCTATTTCTAGAGAAGTGATGTAATTAAGAAATAGTAATATCTCAGGCAAAGCATACTGTAATGTAATAAAGTTCATCTAGTTCAAGTTTATTGATCTTATCAGTTGGTTTATTGAAGTAAGTTTATTGATCTTATCAGCACTAATGATTAATTGATAAGCCAGCATTTTCTTAGAACCCTTGGTTTTCTATTGTAATAAGAGGTTTGTTTTATTTAAAAGGGCTAAATCTTTTCACATGAAAGGGTAGGATTTTCTGTTAATATGCTAAATGACAAAAGATACACTTTATTATATTTCAACAATTTATTGTGTAAGCTGACTGAATACATTTAAAGCAAAACATTTTTTTTTTCTCACATTAATAAAATTAGACATATTT